CACAAATTACATTTTTCGTGGCGGATTAGTGTGAACGGTTACGTGTTCGAGGCAATGTACTCTTGGATATTTTTGCTTTGGCGCTGTGATAATGCTCACGAAAATCATGGTACATTCTGTTTATCACAAAAATGGCCACGTCCGTCTCATTGTCAGTGTAGTTAAAGCTCGGGGGAGGGGGGACTCCCATATTAAAAGCACGGGCCTGCTCGTCAGAAATTTTGAAAAAAACCTTAGAGGTACAAAGATCCTGTTTTGTGAGCGTGGCTTGAAATTTTTTCATCCTTAAGAGGTACCAATTTTAAAAAGAAAAATTGCTAACTTTAATAGCACTCAAATATTGAAACCTTAGAATGCAAGCAAGCAGGTGTATTTATAGTGAGGATGTGCATGTTCAAGAGAACACGCGCCACCGCACGCCTCGGCCTCGCAAGACCCTATGAATCTAGACAAGGGAACACTTAAAGCCGCTTTTTGAAAAATTGCAGAAACTTTTTTCTTTCTCGGAAGCAAAGTTTGTGCCCAGAATAAGTGATGGTTGCCGTCCGAGTACAGCTAGTGAACGTAACGAAAGAAGGTCAGTATTAAAACGCTGCGTGCATGGAAAACATTAACACTTGTTATTCCTCGTTTTCCGTGACCATTAATCTACGTCGTGTTTTTCCCGTTTCTAGAAGGAAATATTGGCGGATCATGTGAAGAATTTATCAAACATTTCACCCTTTCAAATCTGTCCAGTCCTTTTGTTTTTAAAATTAAGAGACATTGTCTGTATAGTTCCTGAAGTGAATTAACACTCCATTCTCTTCCTGTATTTATATAACGAGCCAAGGTCAGCTCTCATCAAAGAACTCCGAGTCGAAGAGGTCTGAGATTAATGAGGGATTTATAAAGGTGGAAGAAACAAACTTTTAAGCGACTGAGATGAACAACAATTGAACGGATATCCGAAAATCAGTCCTGTGTGATTAACTTCTAGATACCTACTGCTACGATTAATGGTCATTAGGGGAAATGAAGAATGCAAATATATTTGAAGTCGCAGTTGTATTTTTATTTCTCCACTTGACGATTTGAATACAGTATTGATAAACATGAACGGCGATAAAAGAAAAGTGGAAAGGGCAAGATATAGTAAACTAACAGTATATGTCACTTGATAATAGACATATTTTAGGATAAAAAGAAAACTGGTATAATATATGCAAATATATATGAAACTATAAAACGAAGACATCACTGAGGTCTTAAACTGGTCAGATATGAATTACCTCTTGTGCTTTATTGGCATATTTCTGCTTTTCGCAGTCGTTTTATGATCAGCATGACCACACGGACGATTTTTGAAAAATTGCATAATTTATGTACATACGCCCGTACGTTGTCGGGCGTGAGCAGCAGGTATCTCTACTGTAAATGTAAACAACGCCTATTGTCAAACTACTGTCAAGAGCGATTTTTTCCCTTTTCCTCCGATCAAATTCCGTTTCTCGCCTACCGGCGAGAGCAATGTTGTATTCGTAAATCTACTAACTCCCAGATACCACAGTGCTTATGTACTTCCCTTCATATCTGACTGATTAATCGTTTAATATCTAATTTTCTTAGTTCATTATGAAGAGGCACAATCGGGACGTGAGAAGAAATAAGGTGAGAAGCTAAATGATTGCTTTAATATTCAGTTTTAATATTTAGATAAGCCAAATACACTGCATGTGCTGCTGCCTAAAAGCCATTGCAAATATAACGTGGCGAAAGAAAACTTTCGCACAAGTGGAATTATCAATTTTAAGATATTTTCTATCTTATCTAGTAGAAAAGACAAATTCCAATATTTATTTAGAAAGAAGTATTAGCGAACGTTTTCAGTGATAATTGTAAATGGCAGGATTACGGTTTATCAGTATTGGTTGTTGGTTTCCAAATGGCACGATAAGTCTTTTTTACGATCATCTTAAGAAAGAGAATTTCAATTTAGATAAAAGAACTCAGTGTCAAAAGACTAAGTTGTGGCTGAGTTCTTTTCATTAGTAACAACTTCGCGATCCTTACATAAGTAGACGATTTAATTTGGTGGTAGATATTTCCGGGATATTTCCCAACTTTTATGAACTTTCTTAGAAAAAGGATATAGAAAAATCTTGTAACAGAATTTAAGAATGATGCCAAAACGTTATATGCTAGCGTTAATATTTCTTTTAAAATGTTTTCCAATATGTAATCACGTTTAGTAAGGAACTATTATATTTGCAAATTTTGTGATTCTTTGTGGTTTGCATTAACTTGTGAGCAGGTTCTTCGGGTGGCAAGAAAGCTCAGCGCGGGTTAGGTTCACCTAATGCATCAAAATAATAACATTAGCTGTATAAGCAACGACAAAAAAAAAAAAAATGACCTTATAATAGAATCGATAGGTGCAAACAATTTTCCCGAATTTGGGTCTAATTTACTGAGAAGTTCATTTTAAGAAATTACGGCACTTTGCTAAATAATAGCACGTATATGTACGTCAAGATGGCGGCCGGGCGAGTGTGTAGCTAGTAATATAAAGCAAACATCACTCTTCTTAACGCTGCCTAGTACGATAAAGGAATAATCATGAGATAAGGAAGAAATATACTCATTTTTCAATGGATGGTACCAATATGGCCGCCGTGACGTCATCAACTTTCGTCATCAGTTTGCCACATCAGCTTTCTGCTGCCATTCTTGTAACAAACTTATCGGGTACAGCATGTATGTGAAGACGCTCGGTTCACAGATAATTTTCACCCCGGCACTTTATCAAAGATAATAATCACAGTAATAATGAAAATCATTATTGTTATTACTAATCAAAGAAAAAGAACATTTTTTTTATTATTTTCATGCGTTATTGAGAATTCATTCACGAACTCGTACTCCGTGTTTCGTCAGGATTTCCGCTGACAAAATCGAAAATACCAAACACTGTTAAGGGCGCTTTTCATTCGACCAAAAACTCACTGTCGAATAAAACAGTATTTTCTGGAATTTCCAGAAAAGAGGACAAACTCGCGAGATATGCACACATTTTTCGAAAATCTCTTGTCAGGAATTTCCGTTCCATTTGATTTTCGTCCCCGAACTTCCCGAATTGTCGGTTGAATGGTTCGCATTTCGGAAATTCAATAATTTTCGGATTTTTCGGAAACTTTTCCGTACCATTTGCCCCCGTTTCGAAAGTTCTGGGTTCAATTCAATTAATTTACATTTATTTTAGTCACATAAAATTGATTTAGTTAAAGATGATTTTCAGTCCGTACTGCGCACTCTCGAGAGTTTGTTTGTTTGCGTTTTTTTTGTTTTGTAAAGGCATGTAAGACATCATAAAATGTAAACATTTCGCAACTACTTACATGAAGTAAATTCAAACTTTCGAAACAACCGCCATTATGGATGCGAAGCGTTCGAAGCTTTACGATTCGTTCTTTCTCAAATCGCTTGATGAAACAACTATGCAGCTTTAAAAGTCAATGAGGCCGTTCGAAAAAGAATTTGAAAGGCTTCAAAGATAAGGTATGTGGTTCGTAACGCGTAACATCGATTCGCATTTCATCGAGTGAGATTTAGAATGTTTATAAACATTAGGGTGCAGAGACTGCGCAGTTCGGATTGGGAATCATCTTTAACAAAAATACCATTCTCGTCCCCAGAGAATGAGAAGGTCCGACACTAGAAGTCCGCGATTCACAGACTTCCCGTCACTCTGCGCATGCTCAGAGTCAAGTCTGACAAATCTGATTGGTTGAGAATACGAAATGATTACGCTGCGCATGCTCAGAAAACTGGACCTTCCCAGAGGTCTCGATTCTTGGTGCTGTCCAAAAGGAGCGCGGCCTTTGGGGACGAGAATGCAAAAATACAAAATCAGAGAAAAAAAATGCAAAATTACGCTTTCAACAAGAGAAAACTGTGTAATGGCTAAAGGAGCAAAAGCTTTTGAGTTGGCCACTATACCACAGTAAAATTATTGTGGAGTAGACAGTAGAACATATTGCTGATTTTTAGTGTCACGCCATTCAAAATAGATCAAAATAAAAATCAAAACCGTTCAATAGATTAAGTCCAGAATCTGGGAAATAAAAGAAAGTAAATATGCAAAGACTCTCGCCAAGATTCTGGTCACAACAATTTTTCTTATGCAAGATATGCGGAGAAATTTTTTACCCAAATTTATAGAGATTTGTATGGAGACGCCATGCTGGTGCNGAGTTTTGCTATAAAAGCGTGAATTTATCCCTCGAGGAACTCTAAAACATTAAAATAATACTTTTTCTAAGACATGAAGTGTTCAGATAGCCAAATTCTCCGAAATAAGTCACTTTTTTAACCATCATGACGCCATCATGTAAATGCCGCGTCACGCAAAAGCTTCGAAATTCAAGCGTAGTCTATCACAAAACCAAGAACCCATTCGGAGCCAAAATTTGTATGAATATTAGTTTTCAGATGCTCTTATACATCATTTAAGTAAAATCTCAGGAAGATCAATAGTTTTGTAGTTTGAATCTTAGTGACGTCATGTGAAAACCAGCTATTAACTTAACTCAGAAAGAGTATGAATATAGTGTAATATAACAGTAACTAATGTAAATATTCTTGGTACTCATATCTGGCTACAAAGGAAAAACTGCTTATAACCCCGGGGTTGAATAGAACACGCCCAAAGCTTTCTCGTGCTTGGTATCCTAATGAAACACTTACGTTCGTTTTTGAAAAGCTATATCATAAATAATAATAACAGCAAAATTTTAAATAAATCATGACATGAGTCAATATTTTGCTGATACATTTTAGAAACACATTGTAACCTCACACTAACGGCCACCTCCCTAAAACGGCCAGTTTTTAGTCTCGTTGTACGGTACATGCATTTACTCTAAATTCAACCTCTTAACAACATTCCTACCTCACAACGGAAACGGCCACTAAAACGAGTCCCAAAATACCAAAATAACATCTCCACAACGGCCGGTTAAACAACGAGTGACAAACGGTGCATACAAAACCACATGTTATATTGTAAAAGATCACGAAGCTTGATCCGTCCCGCGCGTCGTTGGTCCCTGTTTCTGTTTCTGTTTGGTCTCTGTTTTATTGATACATTTTGGTTGTGTTAGGTATTTATATGCTACAATAAGGATTTTTATTAAGTAGTAACAATGTTGTGCCCTCCGCAAAAAAAAACAGGTGTCATGTTACACCCGTACTTCCCCATAACGGCTACCTCTCTACAAAGACCACTTAATTTCCTCTGTCCCCAAGGTGGCCGTTGTGGAGAGGTTTCGCTGTAATGATAATAATAATAACATTTCTATATTGCCTTCACCATGATTCAAAGGTGCTAATTACAAACAAAATGTCCTAAACATGCATATTTAGGTAAACCGACTATGGAAAAGATAGCCCAAAAGGTTTAAAATTAATTACAGATAAAAATCGTTTGCCATCGCTTTCTGGTAAGTGTCAAATTTTGAAAAAAAACAACAGAAAAACTCGGAAACAACTTAGGATACATGTCGGTTATCGTTTTGCCCATAAAAGGGACTATTAAACAGAACTGCACACTGATGTTAAAGCAGTATCGCGTATTGTTTCTTTGTTTGATTTTATCATTTTTTTTTTTTTCATAAATCTTATTTTTGATTAGTTACCAGGTTTGTTCGGAGTTCGAAATAGCCCATAGTAAATGACTGCAGGGAAAAATCAAGGGAAATGGTTTGGGGATAGAAAAAACGGGGAATTTTGAAATAACTGAATTCAAGTTAGTGGGGTCGAATTTGCTTAATTTGGATGGACGAGAATTATTTTACTATTTCACTTGGGAAGTTTTTCTGTTAAGTTTCTTTGGCACGCTTCTCTGCTGAAACTAAAGCTGACATATAAGCTTTTGGTTCGAAATTAGGAGAGGAGCTGGTTGTCAAGGAAACACTTATTATTCCGCAAAAATTAATCGTGAAAACCTGTCATCTTATAAATTAACAACGGGCAAACAGTTAAAACTTGTCATAAGAAGACATGTTCGCGACTTCCCACTCATTAAACTTCAGTAACAATATGTATTTATGAGCAAGGGATGACAATGTTTTAGTTTGTTTGTTTATTTTTGGCTACAGGTAGTTTAAAATATGATTAATATCGCGGCGTTTTTTGGTCTTTCAGAGCCGGGGCCTTATTGCTAGTCATTGCTAGTGGCCATAAACTCATTGCTAGTGGCCATAAATCGTCAGTGATCCTATGAACCCGCTATTTTTTCTGTGTCTTCCGTTTTCGAACAAACAGTTTTCATCATTTTCTCCACTCCCCCGGCTCGAATCTGTGTTCTTTGCATGCGTTAATCACTGAGGCCCTTACAGTCGAGAGAAATCCAGTTATCGACAAAAGTCCCCTCAGGTTTTCGATTGGCATACTATTCCATCGATTACATTGACACAATCAGTTCTACATATTTCGAGTTACATTTCAGAAAATAATATCCGCCTAGTTAAACTAGGTTTTTCTTTCCCATCACCTGCCGGTTGGTTTGACATATTTTGCTCTGATAAATTCAAGACATGCTTCACTGAATCGTGTTCGATTTCCGGTCACAGTTTTTACGCGTTCAACCGCTGGTGATCGAGCCTGCGATTCAGCTTGCAGCTGGAATAACGCGTAACGGACGAGAAAAAAACAACATTTCGAGTAACAAAAAATACAAAGTAACAAGAAAAGAGACGAAATTAGTGCAAGCAGTAAGTAAATAACTTTTTAAAAAACAGCGGCCGATGGAAAAGTTAGGCCAACGCGACCAGAACGAAATGGTAAATTATTAGTTGAAACCAGGAACCATGTTATGGCTCCTGTTGAAACATGTTGTGAATATCAATATCATTCTGGCACACTATTAGATCCTATTACGTTACTCGCGTATTTCCTTTATTATTAAAGCACGTAGCAGCACGTTAGCACGTTATTTGGTAAATAACTTTTTAAAAAACAGCGGCCGATGGAAAAGTTAGGCCAACGCGACCAGAACGAAATGGTAAATTATTAGTTGAAACCAGGAGCCATGTTATGGCTCCTGTTGAAACATGTTGTGAATATCAATATCATTCTGACACACTATTAGATCCTATTACGTTACTCGCGTATTTCCTTTATTATTAAAGCACGTAGCAGCAAGTTATTTGGCTTTTGGCCAAAAGAGAAATTTTCAAAACAGTCAAAGCCATACGACAACTGAGAGAAACTATAAAAATCAAAGCAAAACAAACGCTTGGAGGACAAAATAAACTTGTAGGATATTCGCTGAAATTGCGTGTAAGAATGTTAAGCCGTGCGTTCTTACATTTCGCCGTTGAACTATATAAAAGAGGTCGACATCTGAAACTCATGATGCAATTAAAGTAATGGATTTGTGTCAACGAAAGCGTGTTTTCGCATCAAATTCTGTCAAACGTAATCTTCACGTGATCTAACAAAGTGAGAAAACGCGAGAAACTGGTACCGAGGAAACTTTAAAACCCTTACCTGGATTTAGTTACTTACAATTTAAACCGCGCGGCCGAGATCCGAAGAATGCAGCACTTACCGTATGTATGTATCGCATTCAACAAACATCTGATATTTCAGATTAAAACTCAGGTTGTACAATAGTGCTAACGCGTTCAAAATTTCTTCCTCAGAGGAATTCAAACACGTCAGCGCTGGCATCCAAGATGTTTCAAGCGATTAATGACGAGGACGTCGACGCGTTGAAGGAAATTCTGACGGCGGAAAGCATAGAACTTGACAACATCAGAACGGTAAATACGAACATTTTTGTGTGTGTTACGGTGTTCGTTCTCATCTGGAAAGAAGCACATCGCACACCAAAAAGGCATTTACCCATTTTGTTTTCGCATTTGGCACGCTGAGTTTCGTGAAAACGTCTTGCTTGTCCTCCGTGCTTGACCTTCTACGGGAGGTAAATCATTACTTTTATTAAACTTCAAAGGCAAAAAAATAAGAGAGTTATTGCACATCAATGCTTGCTTGTACTTTGAATATGAGAAAATTCCCACCAGGTAAACAAAATCGGTGTGCAAGAGGAAATTATTAAAAAAATTTTCTTTGAAACGTTTTCGTCATTTTCCATTTTTTGAAGTTTGAATCATTGGTATGACAGATGTTTTTGTGTTACAAAATACCCGTGGTACATTAAGTTTCAAAAACTCTCTCTCCTGTATGGCATATATTAGTCCAGGACGCCAAAAACATATTTTTAGCCTTACAAATGTTGGAAACTGTTATTCATTATGTGACAAAGCGTTATTGTAGTAGTTTGACATATGACTAGTAAAGTTTATTTGCCAAGTATAGTTTTTCGCCTACGAAGAAAATTCTTGTCGGTTGTTTTAGGTTAACGAGCTACGAAAATTTTTTGTCTTAGTTGGGTCTAATATTGTTTTTCTCTTCTAATCATTATGTCCAAGCAAAATTTTAGAGCTTTTTTTTTACCAATATGTAGTGTTCCGGCGGTTTCCTTTCACCTTTATTGAAGTCAGTAATTTGTTTACTTTCCGACCTTTAACGCCAATTTTTTCGTTTACCGAAAAAAAAAATTATTTTAAATCGGCCACAACCGAAGATTTGAAGTAAAAGTTTCATGAATATTTTCCGCGAAGAAAACTTAAGTGTTCCGTTTTTTGATGTCCTACCTTCGCAGTTAAAACACAAAATGTTTATTTTCTCCTTAATTAATTTAACTCAGTAAGCGTGGATGGTTAGTTTTAATTTTCCATTTTCGCAAGTTTTTTCCTATAATATTGAACTTCTATTACCGTTAACGTGTTTGAAAATACTACAGTTTAACCAGTTAACATTGATTAGGCACTTTCACAAAAGAGAATTCAAAAGCTCGTTGTCTTCCTTTACGAGTGGGTTATTAAAACAAGTCTTGTGACAACAAAGATCGTCCGCTCGAGTTTCTCATAAAAGTTTAATCTTCTTTCCTTCGACTTAAGCGCTATGCATCTCATTGTTTTTATGTGAAGTAGTTCGGAAAATTTAAGTGAATTTTAAAAGACGTCGTAGTAATTTACTTCTTCATCATTTGTAATTTCCTCTAGCTAATTTTAATTTATTTCAGTGTTAACAACTGTGTTTTACAATAATTCGTTTCATATCCAGTTAGTGATAATGTCTTGATTCTTATTCATTTTCTGACAACTGTGGGCAAAAAAACAAACTTCTTAGCTGAAGCTGTCGCAATTTTCATCACACACATCATAAATGACTTGTTAACGGTTATTCTTCAATAAGTTATTAACAACTACATGAGCTATAAAACGTTAATTTTGAATACTGATGTAGTGTGATCGACAAATTATATTCAGGCCTACAGTGAACACCGAACGACTCTTCAGTTTAGTCGAAGCTCAAACACTAATTCTCTCTACCGACCACCTTACATTTCTTTTAATACCAGCTGTAAGAATTTCAAAAGATTGTCCTCCAGTTTATGATTTCCTATGTTCTCATTATCTGCTACTTGACAATGTGTTGAAGACGTAAGAGGAAAATCCACTTTGATCAGTCTTTAGGATTAAAGAGTTCGGCTTTCATGTAAAACTGTTGTTAACAAAGGCTGAACTGATATTTGTTCTGATTGTTTGAACTATAGGCGTTTGATAATATCGTTTTGCAATGTAGTGTTTTTTTGAAGTCAGTGGTTCCAAGCACACCTGGTTTGCGTAAGATTCCCCGCTAAGGATAGAAATTCTCGAAATTCTATCCGTAACCTTATTTTTAACCTTTTGTTCCTGAGAAAAAAAATCGATGTCATTTAAGGTTTGCCGGATTAAAAACGTATTGAATGAAGCGAACACCTCCGGGCATTTTACAGGAATGCTTTTAATGCGTTAACAATTAGTCCAATTAGGTTTACGGCATCCTGTTTTTTAAATTTCTTTTTCAAATTAAGTTTTATTTAGTTCTTGCAAGAAAAACAGTCAACTAGAACACGACCCGCGAATAAACTTTTTACCATACTGAAGTTATTGCTGAAGTTGGGTTGCTTGGTGCCCTTCTAACTAAATTACATTTTGCAAACCACGGCAGTTAAACTGCGGTCCCAAGATGGATTTTGATTAACGGCACGCCAAGCCAAGCATAAAACATTCAAAAGCGCAAAATACAAAACAAAGCCGAAGGCTAATTTTTGCCCATGCTGATTCTAGAAATACTTTGTATCGAACAGGTGGAAAGTGTATGGTTTCGAAGTAATTTAATCTACTTTTGTCTCGCTAGTTGTGCAATGCAGGTAAAGTAGGCACGGCCTATGTGTAAAAGTCTTGAAGACGTGCTAAAGTTTGCCCACAAAGCTGCGTGTTAATTGCAAGATTGTTGATCTGATTAGAAATGTAGAACTTTCGTTACTTTGTTGTTTGACGCATTTCACACACCGGGTTATGTTGGATATAATTACCGGTCTCTCACTTGTGTTCGACGATTTTTTTGTTGTGGCTTTACAGAACATAGTTCTACCTGTTCGTTATAATTTTTCTTTTTCCCCTTCCTTCTAGATTTAGTTTTCCTAGAATTAAATATGTCAACTTTGCTAGGGAACTGTTTTGCGTCGCACATCCTCCGATTTATCAAAACTCTTTCCTTGTAGCAAGTGCTGCGCGCGATACCCAGAAACATGTTTTAAAGCTGCAACGAACTCTCTAAGCGTCATCACAAGTGGTGTTTTTACAATCTGATGTGTCATGTAGCCTGCGAATTTAGCTTCTTATCTCAGCTGACTTGGCCTTTCGCGGAATGCCAAACCAGCGTTGTTTGATAAGAGGTGATTGTAAAGGTAGGGCGCAGTCGCCTTCAACAACTGAACGCCACAACAAAATTTATTTCAAAAGACGAAGTTCTCGGCACATTACCAAGACCCTCGACCAGAAGAAGAAGCTAAGAGCGGAACCTTTTAAAAATTCAGCACCGCCTTTTGCACAAAGGTTTCCGTTAAACAGGCGCCGAATTAATGAATTAATATTGCATAAGCCCTTCAGCGATTTAAATTCCCCGTTATTTTTTTTTTTTTTTTTCTCAAGGCAAAAATAGGTCAGTAATTGAAGGCGGGTGTTATTAGAAGTTCATATACATTACCCGGCTGGCAGCGGATGATTTAGCCTTGAGAGACGAGCTCTTGAAATTAAAAGCCTGAGTCCGCCTGGAGAGCAACTATTAGTTTTGTTATTCTACAATCAGGCTAAAATCGTTGAAAAGTCGTTAACTTTATTTCACTTTTCATTGTCCCTCGCATAGAAGCTGTACCATAACACCGGTTACAATTAAACTGAGCCATTTATTTTGAAATTTAAATCGTTTTCCTTAAAATCTATAGTCAAAACCTTGCCATTAATACTGAATGGTTTGAAAACCTAAAGACGATGAGACGAGTCCGAAAAAATACTCATTTATAAGTTACTCAAAAACGTTCTCATAAATTTGCCCCATGCTTTGTCCTAAGCTGGTGTTTTCCATGTGGTATGGAGACAAAACATTTTCCGTCCAAAGTCTATTTTAGTTCTCACAAAGCCAGTAGCTCCAAGGCATTTATTCCAAGAGACTATGGGTCTCTTGTTTGTTCCTGCTGAGTAAAAACCTTTTTAAGTAAAACTTGGACATCTGTTGTTATGACATGCCAGAATTTTATTACCTCCGGCGATGTCAGATTTGCTTAGACATATTAAAAGTTTCAGATACGCTCTTTCTTCATGTAACAATATATTTTATAAGATTATCGAGGCTTAAATGTGCGAAATTTTAAGAATATTTTAAGAATAAACCCGAGGCTAAGAATTTAAAAAGAATATAATTTTGTGTGGTGAAAATTTAAAAATACACTACAATTTTATGTTTTTAACTAAATAGTATAAAATTCTTTCTTTCTCTGAACGGCAAAGCTCGCCAAAAAACAATTACAAAATAAAACAGAATATAAAAAACAGAAGTAGCGTTATGTTCAATGCTAATGATAATTCTGCAAGAAGTTACGTTTGTCATACCAGGCTTTAATTTAGAATATTCGTAAGACTATTTTCAGCCTGAAATCGGCAGAAAAGTAAGGATATTGCGCCTGGGCCGGAAAAATAATATTCTTATAAGGAAAAAAAGAGTGTACGCGAAATTAGCAGCCGAGTTGGAAAAGAGAGTTAAATTCAAAACATTTTATAGAGTCTGGTACTTCCTAATGCATCTGTGGCTTTTTTTACGTTTCTATCTGTAGCAAGATTTTTATTTATGCAAAAGATAATCGTTTTGTTTTCATTTTCAACAGGGAAAAGGCGATTTTGCACTTCATCTAGCAACCCGCGTAGGAAATGCAGAAATAGTGGAACTTCTCGTGGAAAATGGAGCTGATGTCGACATTCAAAATGTAAGTTATTCCCACGAAAGAGAAAGCAGCAACAGCCGTACGGGAACAGGTCCTGCCTCTTATTCAAACGTCTTTTATTTTTCGAAAAGAAAACGACTGTACAGAGGCGAAAAGGCGTGTCTCATTTTTATGGTCTCTCGAGTTCACACTCGTTCTATTGCGAAGCTCCACACCGGGAAGGCCTCAATGCACTGCACGCTCGCACTTCCCACCAAAATGTCCGCCTCAATGCACTGCACGCTTGCACTTCCCGCCAAAATGTCCGCCTCTCAAATTTTCGAAATCTTCCACTTTCAAGCCGAAAGTGAAGACAGTCGCTGCGTAGAGAATTTCAAAATTGTTAGCCACCTAGCTTATCGCGGCGGTTCGTAATTTGGTTACATAAACTTTTATTTTGGCTTCGAACTCTTGACAAACTTTGAGCCAAAGAAAAGCGGTAGTCGCGTTAAATTTTTGCGTTTGAGCGCTGTAAATTACGACGCGCTAGTGAAAGAGGTTGTGGATATCCAGTTAGGCTACTCTTATAGTTAAACACGTGTTTACTGTTGACTTATTTGGACGAGGTTTTAATGATTATTGTGTGGTATGCGGTTCTGGATCGAGAGGTCTGGGCTCGCCTGGGCCTGGCCTTTATCTTGTGTTTTTGAGAAAGGTATTTTCACAGTGCCTATCTGCACCTGAACAGATCTAGAATGTTCAGAGGCTCTTCTTTAATAGACTAGGATCCTATAGCCATTCAGTACTACAATAGGGGGGGGGGAGGGTAGCTTTATACTTTCACATTTCTAAAGCCGAGTTAAACTCAGAGAATCAGAGGAGTGGATAAGTTGCACGTTCGATAGCTCGCCCTTTTGTCTTCATTGACTAACAAGTGTCTAAAACGCCTTCAACACTAGGCCGGAGAAATGAGAAAACTCAGCTTTAATATTTCTATGGTTATATTAGCCCTACCCTCCACACTAAGCCGTTTCGAAAACAGAGCTTTTCGAATACACGCTTCAAACCGGAGGAATTTGAAAACGCCGGCTTTTCGTTTTCGTGTGGACGGAAAACATTTTGAAAACGGAGTTTTTCGAAAACGACGGCGTCACGTTAATCATATGATTTCCCTGACCGAGGTTTACTCAAACACAAATCCAAAATGACCGGTCATTGTTGCGTTTTTAAATTCTTCCGCCTTAGTTTGGACGGAAAACATTTAATGCGTTTTCAGAGTGAAGCATCCGTCTTCAAATTTCTCCGGCATAGTGCGGAACGAGCATAAAACAACAGAAAACAAGGTGATTATGAGAGGAAGTCAAAACTAATCAAGCATTTGTTTTTCAGAATGACTACCAGACTCCTCTTCATATCGCCGTAGCAAGCGAAGATAAAACACTAGTTGATTATTTCGTCAGCTGTAACGCTAAATCTGACATCCCGGATAATGTAAGTTTCGACTTCTTCATATGAGTAATTCTACTTCTGCAGAGTAATGAGTTTCTAAAACGGTTTAAAATCAGTTTTCGGGGAATCAGGTTCTAAATGAAAATGGTTTGCCAAGACAGTATTCACTAAAGTAGCAAGACCGTCCCTAGAAGAAGACGCCATTTTTGAAATCGGATAACGCCGGGAACGTCTTAAGGTCATTGCACTGAAATAGAACCTGCACTGAGATTTTTGTGGAACTTTGCCTATTGATTGTATATATTATAGGAACTTAAATTTTGAAATAAAAATGAGGGGTCCCCATGCTCGTTTAGGAGCAACAGCACCTTGTTTATACCCAATAAATCCTTATAACAGCACCATGATTGTAGTCACGATTGCTTACTAAATTCACGTTTCCGACAATTGTTTTTTGTTCTACGCTGAGAATTGGTCCATATTTATTTTACACAGAGAAATGTATTACTCAATTAAAATCAACAGAAAAAATGATAGGTCACCATACTCGTTTGCGAGAAAATGACGATTTACCTCTATGGCGAGGTCCAGCCGTAAAGAAAAAGTCGACATTTTTTAATGCGCGCGCGCTAATCACGCGTGAAATTGTGCACAGTAGGGATGCGCAATGCAATACTGGGGAATGACCTTAAACAGTAACTCTGGTCTCCACCCATGGCTAAAATAGTTCCCAGGTTCTCTCGTACTTAGACGCCGAGCAACTTAACAACCCAAACGACCTGGGTCCAAGAAGCCAGAAAAAATTGATCTTTGTTCTGTCTTGAACGTTGGAACTTCTTTTCAATTCTATAAATTTAAAGCACCAATTACTGTTCAGTTCACTTTTCCTCTTCAGGGAGGAATAACTGCTGCTCAACTGGCGTCAAGTCTGGAAAATTCAGCAATAAGTGAAGCCCTTCCCATGAAAGTGAATAAACCATTCCAACCACCCGCGGTAAGTGTAACTTTTCTAACGTAGCAACATGATTGGCCAGCTAAAAAGCTGCGCACCTTCCTACCGCCAATCAGAGTGGACATGTTATCTTTTGAGCCAATCAAGTCATGAGCTGTCATCATGATTGACCTGTGCGGAGAGAATTTACAAGCTTAAAAATTGTGGTGATCGTGCATTATGTAAGTAAAAATTAATAGTTAACACTCTTGTCTTTCTACTTCAGGATGTAACCAAGGGACTGCTTACAGCGATCAAAACTGGAGACGCGGATACCGTAAGAGGACTTCTTGATTCCGGTTATTTGGATGAGCATGTCTTGGAAACAACATTGGTGAGTTTTATTTTGTACCCTGGCAGGCGTCTCTTAGTTTTGAACGTCCGATTGGCCGGTAACCTTTTACACTCCTGGGTGGAGAGAGGCCCTTGAAAGCTAGAACCGAAACCACTACATCCGGAGTAGGTAAAGTCTGCATGCGAGCTTATCCCGATTTCCGTAGCATGAAGCGACTAGGAGTATTTCTACTCCCCCCTGGATGGGAGGGTTACCCCCAGCATTAAGTTCGCCGGTACCCATTTATACACCTGGGTGGAGAGAGGCACTGTGAGAGTAAAGTGTCTTGCCCAAGAACACAACACAATGTCCCCGGCCAGGGCTCGAACCCGGACCGCTCGATCCGGAGACGAGCGCACTAACCATGAGGCCATCGCACCTCCCACTACTACATCCGGAGTACCGCGCAGTAATTATCATGCAACCGCGCCTCCTACGTAATGTCGTCAAAGCGCCACACAACACACAAGCTGAGATACAAATAGTCCGCCGCCGCGACTTCAACATTGTCGCATGTACACTAGCTAATTTAAGATGATTTCCGCAAACATTCGAGCAATAGTGGTAAACATAAAGTTACCAAAAAACCTCATAGCATGGTAATGTTTTGAATAAAGGTAAGTAGAACGTATCGAGGACTTAAGCTCTCAAGCTGACCCCGCGAGAGAAAATTGAACTTGAAATTATTAATTCATATTTCCATTGAAACGGACATTTTGCGTTAGTTGAAAAACACAATAACGCACGCATTTTAAAGCATTCTTACGAGGTTTGACATTAACTTTTTCGAGAATGCTTGAGACTTAAATCGCGGGGTCACTTAGAGAAATGAATTACGGTGAGATGTTTGAAATAGTATTCAAAACGTTACCGTGCTATGAGTAGATTTTTAGTAAATAATTTTTGCACTTATTGCTCGAACTTTGAGCGTAATCCGTCTTAATAAGGCGCACCTGAGCAATCAAATTCCTTGTGATCAGTTACCTGGTCCAATCAGACCGTTTCTGCGACCAATCAGCTGCAGATTGCTTGTTTAATGTCTTACTAGTGACGCCAGCGCGTGTTTTGAAACTCAAATGAATTACGAGGATTGATTCTAGAAGCAAGTGTGTGCCCTGCCTCTCCACTTCATAATTAAAATTACTTTATTTTTCCAACTTTGTTGCAGGAAAATGGTGAAACATCCCTTCATCTTGCTGTTAAATTAAGAAACGTCGAAATATCCAAAATGCTGGTACAAGGAGGAGCTAAAACTGAAACGAAAAACGTAAGTTCATTTATTTATTTGTTTGTGTTTGGGTGTTGCACTATCGTTTTCTTCAAGTTTTTAGTGCATTTTTTTGTGCTCTGCTTCCTAATTTGTGAACGTGGGTAATTTTGTTTCCATCATGTTGTAAAATGAAATCATTTCTGAACCTTTACGAAGACAGATATCTATTTAACTATTTTGCAGGATGATGGTGACACCGTTCTTCATATAGCAGCTGAGAATGGAGACATTACTGTGGCAAGATTCCTGCAAAGTGTAAAGGCTAGACCCAATGTTGTCAATAACGTACGGTTTGTTAGCATCTTTGTAATTTAAAAAAGGTTGTTTAAGAACTAATTTACCAAGGTTTCAATTTTCACGTTTAGAAAAATTGTCTGAATTAAAGGTCGGAAGTAACTATGTTTGAGGTGATCTGTAAATCCCTAATAAAACTCGCGAACTTCAATCTAACCAATCAAAAATGTGTTGTTTTATCGCCTAATCAGGTGCAAAACCAAATCGCGAATTTTTTATTCCCGCGCTTTCAGCAGTTGCAAGATTTTCGATCTCTGATTGGATCATTACGGATTTGAATGTGTTGTGATTGGCTAGATGGGATTACGTTAGTGTTGCTCTGTGACTTTCATTGGATAACCGCTGTACTTCATTTTTCACCTCTGCTTTGCAATCATAATTGAAAGTGCATGTGAAAGTCTGACTGCCTTTTAGTGACAGATGATTATAACATGCATCTTGATATATATCAGACAACCTCTTACATTTTCAATGTGCTTGATTTATTATCTTACAATTCCAGCAAATCAGGTGTACCTTAGAAGTCTCTTTAGCATTATATATATACTGTTTGATGTTTTGCTTTGCGTTTTTCAGGATGGAGACACGCCCTTGCACGTGGCTTGCCGGAAGAGACACGTGAGCCTTGCGGAACTGCTGCTGGGGAAATTCAACGCCAACATCAACATAAGAAACAAGGTATGTAAGTTTTCGAGGGTGTATCATCAAAGAAATGACGAGTTTTCGATACTTTTAAGGGTGCCAAAGATTGGCTGAACATCTTCCGAACTTTTCCGAAGACTTCCAAGGTCGTAGAATATCGTTGAAGCACTCATCACCCGACGGTTAGCTACGATGTAATGTACGTTTGAATTTTCGTAGATTACCGCAAATTTTCGAAAGTTGGGAGATTTCAAAACCATTGAACCTTTCCAAAGATGCTATTAAATACCGATCTTCGATTTACTTCCAAGTTCTGCGTGACGCAGCTTGTAACGCAAGCTTTTAACGTAGGCAGTTAAATGGGTGTATGTTGTTTCGTTTTTGGCAAACAAAATTTCTCGGCATGTTTAATTTGTGACTTTTTACGGCATTAAGCTAGATGAAGACAAAATTGAATGTGATCGAGGCTTGTCAGAAAATGTTGATTATACCATACAGATGAAGGCTTTGAATATATAAGTTTGACAAACGAAACCCGTCAAAACTCAAAGGTACATTTCCAAAGAGATATCCATTCTAAAATCACTTTTCTTTCGGAGTTTGTAGTTCAAAGACTACTGTGGTTTGATTTTTCTCTCGTCAGAATGGCGACACGCCGTTGTTTGTTGCCGTGCGAGTGAACTGTACACAAGTGATAAAAGACTTGCTGAATTCGTCACAGGCAGATCAGGATGTTAGGACTGGAAGAACGGTACGCGGCTCATTTTCAATTCCCTTTTAAATTAATTTAAATTCGCAATTAAAGAAATTGGCGAGATTTTACGCACCTCATGATCGTATTTAGTCTGGTTTTCAGCTGCCTTCTCGGGTCGCTTTTCTTTTTCGAGAAAACGGCTGAGATTGACGCGAGAACATATTTTGAAGTTTGTTTTAACTTCTGCAAGTATTTTCTACTTTACTGAGTAACAGTCGAACGGCTTTTTCTTACAGGAAAATGGAGACACGTTAATACATATCGCCACTCAAAACAAGGACCCAGACCTGGCCAAGCTACTGGTGCAGTGGGGAGCTCCGCCGGACGAACAGAACGTAAGATAACAGATATTTCGCAACTAGAAAAAATACTACCCGATATTGCTATGGTCCTATTAGAGGCTGCTCTGTTGGCTAGAAAAATCAAGGCCTAAAAAAATTCTCATAAAAACAAAAAAAAGCCTTCCAAGGTCCGTTGAATGATAAAGCGTAGTGAGACATTTCTTGACCAATCCTGCGTAAGAGGGAATAATTACAGATTACAACTATCTGATGATCCTGATTAGCTTAGAAATCAGAGCGACTCTCAATAAGTCTTCTACATCGGTAACAAATTCTGTTTTTCGTTGTGTGGTTTTTAGGACGAAGGAAGAACCCCACTGCATGTAGCAGCACGTAAAGGCGATGAAGAAATGGTGAAATATCTGCATACGCTGAAAGTGAATCCAAACACGCCCGACAACGTAAGATATAAATTACAAAGTTTTTTAAATTATTTTTTTCATCGAGTGCATCCTAAAGGATACCCTGGGTGCTAAAAATAGTAGCGTTTTGTCCTGAAGACCCTAAGAGAGACCAGAATCCTTGATTTAAACCTTTTGGCGAGAACGGGAGCATCCCCGATCTTTTCCCCCTTCGGGGGAGGGGGGGGGGGTTCCGATGTTGTTGGTGTGGTTAGTTTTATTCTTGTCCAGTTTACCATAGCCACCAAGGAATCTATTAAATCATAATATATATTTTTTCTTTTTAGAATGACATGACGCCTCTTCATTTAGCCGCCAGCGCTGGATATCACAACATCGTGGCATTTTTTCTGGATAAATTTAAAGTGGACGTTCTTTCCAGAGGCAGGGTAAAATATATCTTTGACCATCATGTGCTTCACGATGATTCGTCAGGAAAAAGATGGTGATATATATTCTGCGCAAGTGAAGTTGCTGGTTATCAAAAGAAACAAAATTAATAATAATGAAATGTTGCTTGAAATCAGTTAAATTCAGCAATTGCTGTATCATGCCAGTTATGGTTATAACAAACTGACTAGCAGATTTTACTTCTAAGCATGTTTGTTAAATTAGGGCTGCCCAACAGTACTGGATATTCTGCTACTTTTTAAGATTTTTGCCCTCGATGTATCAAAATTTCAAAACGCTTGCGCGATATTTCACTTATATATCTTGGCAGTACTGCAAAACTACGGTCAAAGCAAACGGGCATGATGAAGACGACGGTTAGACGTGCAGTGGGCGGTTACGCTCTTATCAAACATGTGCGCTAATGCAAAGAAATCGTTGCTGACACATTAGCATACGACTTTATGCAGAGAAGCCATCATACTAGAAAGAGCTTGTGAAACTTAGTAATTGGTAAATTTGGCTCTTTGGGTGTAATATTCAAGGAGAGATTGGATTCCAAAAGCAGCGAAATTTCTAAGTCGCAAAGCGCTAATGAGTTCATACACTCCTTGTAAAATTTGAGTTTTTAAACCCGCGTCGCACAACAAGTATTCAATACATTGGGCTCAGATTCCTAGGGACAATTAATTGTGCTATGTTCGTTCAATATTCAGAACTGATATTTTTGTATCGATTTGTGGCTTGATCAAAACCTAAATTGCGTATGCTAATGAGCAAAGATCGTAAACAAAAGATTCCACTTTAGGTAACGAATGTAGCGTTCGTGTGTGGCTAGGACCACTAAATATTGTTCACTTTGGAGACTGTATGGTGTCGGTGCACAGGACAAGGATTTTGTTAGCGAAGGTTCCGCTGCATAATAAACAATTATTGGATGAGGTTTTTGTGATATCCAGAGTAATCGAGGTCGAGGTAGGGGTTATCAACCGAAGCCAAAGGTTGAGGCTGAAAACCGTTACCGAGACCTTGATTATTATGAATATCACTAAAACTGCAGCTAATAGTTGTTTTATTATACATTGAACGAAAAAAAAAATATGGAAGTCATGTTTTTGCTTCGTAACTGGCGGCAAGCAACACAAAGCGCGCGAACTTGACACGATTATCGTTAGAAATCATGCACCGCGGTCATACATGACATGATTACCCGTGACCTTGAGTGTCCTTGACACGATTATTGTATAATCTGCAGTTAGATGACGTCACAGGCGCTGATTTCGAAAATTCACTTTACGCTTTCGGCCAATCAGAAAAGAGATAGTGAGTTCAATGTATAATAATTCTCCATATTTTTATTTCAGGATGGTAGTACCCTTCTTCACCAGACGTGCTCGGCCGGTCAGCTAGAAGCCTCTAATGCTCTGATAAAGAAAGGCGTTCTCATACACATGCCTAACAAGGTAACGCTGCATCTCACTTCTTGGAAGAGTTCTAAAAGAATTCTACTCGTGTGTTGATGCAAATGCTGCAATCTGATTGGCTGAGCTATCGTACACTAACAGCCATTTGTGTACTGAGGCTGTAGGTAGTCTACGAAATGGCAACGTCTTCTCATTTTTCCAAAGTTTCTAAGGAACATTTAGAAACAAATCAGTGGATAATTAAATTCCTCGGAAGATTAAAAGAAAGACATTCACGGTTTGATCTCCAAATAGTTGAACAAACTGATGCGCACGTATGCAAGAAGTTTAATACTATCTAGAGACTGATTGAAAATTGTCAATGAAAGAAAATTTCAGTTAGAATTCTGCTAAAACTAATCACTTGCTTTTAATTTAGTTGTTAGTAGCCCGTTTAGAAAATTTAGAGAGGTTTTCGATTGATTGTCGTAAAACCAAAACCAAATCAGTTACTTACCAATTAGACTACTCAGCCAATCTAAAACCGTAGTAAAACCAAAGCCACAACCAAAGGAATTGCCTGAGTACTTTCGAACCTCAATTGAAAACCGTCCTAGCTAAACGAAAGAGTGACTTGCTTTGCTTTCAATTCTTAGCACACTCATGCAAGTCATGATGACTTCCATGCTCACTGTCCAAGAAGAACATGTACTACGTAATATCTCAGTGTTGTTTTACGCCCTTTTCCTATCTATTTCTACTGACAATATTAAGTGTTTCTGTTCTAACACATCTTGTAAATTTTAGAGTGGTGCATTATGCATTCACGAAGCAGCCAAGAGAGGTCACGTTGGATTAGTGAGAATGCTGCTGGAGAAGGGAATTCCTGTGAACGCGAAGAACAAGGTGAATGTAAATTCAGTTTAAGAAAAGACAAAGCAAAAAAAACAAGGCTCGCGCTTCTCCTACTCGTAACAATGCCACGTTAACCTGATATCAATTTAGTAATGGCTTTGCGCTACGACCAACATTGCTGACAACGTTATGTTCGCGCGCTCACGCAATATTTTCTTTCAAGGGTTTTCGCCACATCGCTTGCAGTGGTTTGCTATGTTGTAAATTCCAGTAACTATTCAGTGGTGAAAAACTCTAATCCGAGGTCTAATAACTCTAAAATAATTGCAGTTCTACAATATTTATGAGTTGTTAACTTAAGATACCATGCAATAGATTGTACTCACTAAAATTAAAGAGGTGTAGTTCTGTTAGAAAGTGTGTTTTATTTTCATAAAACGCGGTCAAAGTCAACAAGAAAAGTCACAATCTTAATGCTAATACGATACGTTTTCAATAAATCATTTTCATGCGGATATGACTTTATATCGGTTACGTTCCTCGCTCTGTAATTAGGAAGTGGAGAAAAATTCTTTACTTTTTACATGCGTGTCTTCAGCGATTTTGTGCACGGCGTTGATTCTTGAATTTTCCATCACAGAAAAATTACACCCCACTCCATCTGGCCGCACTTAGCAAGAAACATCTTGTTGCACAGTTACTGATAGGATACGGTGCTGACGTTACAGTGATTGGTGGTTTGGTAAGCTAGATTTTTTTTTTGTTTGTTTTTTTTGTTTGTTTGTTTGTTTGTTTGTTTTTTTTTTTACTTTTGCGTAACTTTTGCAAGATTTTTGATTCAGGCGAATGCGCATTGGTTAAAATGATGTACCGTATTTTGATTGGGTAGTAAGATTCCAAGGCATGGTTACTAAGCCAGTGAAAAGTGAAGATAGCGGCCGATTCGAACGAATCTCGTCTCCCAAGTTCGGTAAAATTGAAAGTGAAAACCTTTCGTACTGTTACACCTCTACTAACTATGGCTACACTAAAGAAAAGGTTTAAAGGACATTTACAAAACCGCAAAGAAAGGTTTACAGAGCTTTGGCGCTATGAGGAACTACATAAACGTTAAAGTTACGGGTCGAGTGATGGACTCTGCGGAATTTCAGCTTACTCCACTTACTTCAGCTGGACGGTTACTACAATTGCTGAGCTGTCAGCAATGATCAAAAAAGGGTAACTGCTAGATTTAGAATTGTTCGGAATATTACCAACAAGCAATTTAAGACAACTTCACTCTTGAAATTCCAGGCGAAAGAAACCCCACTTCACATGGCATCTAAGGTCAAAGGAGGAGAAAAAGTTGTGGATGTTTTGATCAAAAGTGGAGCTGATCCTGATACTGCAAAAGAGGTAATTATACTTCGGAGGAGGAGGCGGCGTGGCCGAGTGGTTTAGGGCGCTGGATTTGAAATCTGGAGGTCCCTGGTTCAAATTCTTTACCTTACCGCTATGTAGATTTGTCAGCTTCCCACTAGTTGGGATTCTTAATAGTTTATGTTCTGTTTGAGATATTTGATATTTGTTTATTTATTTACAGTGTCCCCAATTAGCACAACAGTGCTAAATACATTTGACACTTAAATAAAGTTATCTTTCGTTATTTTTATTTCATTTTTTTTTTAATGACATAAAAACTCATACATATTTACCTTGGAGTAGCTATAAACACTTTTCAGTTATTCCCAATCTGCAGGACAAAACAATGGTTGTTCTCTCCTCTGACAGTAATGAACCTTTCAAATGCAAAACAATCAAGTATTGTTTTGTCCTCCAGATTGGGAAATAACTGAAAGGGGTCTATTTTAACCTCCAGTGCGAGACTTAGGATCAAGGTGTCAAGGAACTTAAATAATTATTACGTGTGAATAGGGCTTGTGTGGGGACTTTAAGGTCATTCCTCTGTGTTGCATTGCGCATCCGTACTGCGCATGGTTTTCTCATCATTAGCGCGTACATATGAGCGTGTGCGCATAAAAAATGGAAGAGATTTCCCTCAAACTAAGCTCGATACCACTTTTTATTTCATAATTTTAATGAGAACAATATCCTCAATAGCTGGGAAACAAAATAACAGAAATCTATGGCCACTTTTTTGGCAAATGAAATAAATACAACAAAGAGACATAACGGGCCCAACAGCGCATGCCGAAATTATGTTTCCTTTAAAGGATAAAGAAATGCTGGGAACTTGAAGACAATTTTTCTGGGACGTAGATAAATGAACAACCGAAGAAAGTCAAACTCTGTGTGATATAACACGCTACGTTGAAAAATAATTGAGCTTACTTGTTGAGCATGGCAATTACCAAAAGTCACCTAAATAACCATATTTGTCAGCATTGTGGTGTGAAAACAAGCCCGGTGACCCCCTCTTTCTATTATGTTTTTAATATCTCCTTGTCCTGTAACAACAGCATACTAAGTTTCATTGGAAATCTGTGGCAGGTTATTTTATTAAGGAATCACCTTAAGCAACTTTAATAATGGGCATTAGGCCTATGATGTTGTATGATATTTGAACAATGCTTTCACATGTACATAACATTACAGACAAATAAAAGACTAGTGATAAACTAGGTGTGTCACCATAACTCCATAGATTCTCTTTGTATAGTAATTAATGTAATAATTATTGTTATTTTATTCTAATAGAATGGTGAAAGAGCCCTTCATTTGGCTGCTAGATGTGGAAATTTAGAAGTTGTAAAACTTCTTTTGCGAGAAGATGCTGAAGTCGCTCGTAGATGCAAGGTACAGATACAACTGCCAGTCCATCTTGAAATGGTAGTGAAACCATCTGCCAATAGCTACAAAACTGCCTTATAATTAGTTGCTTTCAAATTTCTCCCTGTTACTTAATATCAGCGAGTGCAGTAAGGTTCCCTCATACTTCCATGTTATTCAGTTTCAAATTGATTTTACGTTTATCTTGTTCTTTCAAGGTTTTCTCTTAATTAAATAAAATAAATAAAAGACTTCATTTAACCTGAAAGGCCAATCAGTGATCACTGGATCACTGGTATTAACTGGCGATCAGCATTTACAATTCCCATGGTTTATGAACCTGGGAAAAGCTTTGTAGTGTATTCCGTAGGTTAAACAGTGTGCCATGCCTTGATATTTTTAATCTTTAAGAGTAAAAATTGGTTTTGCAGATTCTGAACACACTGGTTCCCCTTATCCAACTTTTAGAAAGTCCAGAACAACTAGAAAATATTTCCTATTTATCTTAGGAAACACTGAGAGCACAAGAAGGGAAAATTGTGTATCCATCTGTCGTGATTATCAAACCTTAGATTCTCCTTGCTACCCAGTCATTACATCAACAGCTTGAGCTAGTTCTGTTTCCATAAAGTTAGAGTAAGAAAGTTTATGAAAAGAAAGGAAAGAAAACAAAGTGATAACTTTTAGTGTAATTTTACAGGGTTGTTTTCTAAACAAACTTAGCAAATGATCAGCTCCATGCTGCATGTATCTTGATAGCAATGACATGACAAGGGGAATTACAGAAAGGGAAAGAAAATGAAAGGGATAAGAAAGTTTTTTCTTTTTTCTTTTTTTTCTTTCTTTGCAGTCAGGGGACACTCCTCTTCATTTTGCCTGTCAAAATGGACACTCTCAGATAGTGGAAGCCCTGATCAAGAAGATTTTCCAAGTCAAGTCTTACATGCTTGCTCGTCTTGTTGTCAATATACCAAACAATGTGAGTTTTCTTGTGATTATGTTACAAAGTCCAAATAAAAATGATGCCCAGTTTGAATATTATATTAAAAAACAAATTATGAACGAAGAACTCAGGGTGACTCTGTGATATCATGCCTCTTTAGCTTTCTTGAATCTGTGTATTAACTTTGAAAATTTCTGTTGTATTCATTTGTATCAAATTATATTGAAAAATGCAGTACATGTATAAGGTTCTACATAAAATGTTATTTCTTTAACTGGTCCTGGGGTTTTTAATATTAGACTAACTACTGTAGATTATATATTAGATAATATTGATATTCAAATTATTTCTTGCCAGTTAAAAAATTAGCCACTACAAATCTCTTCAACTGTTTTACGCAGTACAAAACTGTTTATTTTAACCAATATGCCCTGTCAAAACCCACTCATTCCTTTCTTTTTCACTGTTCTTTTCTTCCCATAAGGGTGGAGAGACTGCCCTGCATTCTGTTTCAGGCATTCCTCAGGGAAGGAACAATACAGATGATCATGTGAATGTAGTACAGATTTTGCTGGAACATGGCGCAAACCTGACTTTTACAACATATCAGGTTATGTCACAACCTATAAAAGTAATAGAAAGCAAGGGAAATGGCATTTTGTTCTTTCAGATTTAATGGATGATTTAAGGCTCAAACTACACTTGAATTCTAGCTTGCCCTTTGGACAAGCAGCTCTCAAATTTTGCTTGCCCTGGGCAAGACTTCATTCACTTTTTATTATTTACTTGGCAGATGACTTGCCTCAGGGCCCTTGCCCATCTGGCAAGTGAGAATGAAATGTTACTTGCCCAACAGGAAATCTACTTGTCTGGGCTGACTGGACAGCACTTTTTTCAAGCCCTGAATTGATTACCTTGCATGTATGCAAAGGTGCAACACATGTAGTACTTGAATTCCTTTGCATGCATTGAGGGCTTAGACTGTCTTGTATAGATACATACCGCAAAGAGCAGAATAAACTTCAGAAATTATAAACTGCTGTGTGCTATATAAGAATACTGCACATGTGTAGAATTATACGTTTTTCTTCTTTTAAGTTTAGAAGCTTTTTTTACATTACAGTTAGGATTGCAAGTCTGCACTGTAGGAATATACTGTCATGTATCTCAAATGCTTATATCAAATTCAGAGAGCAGCAACAGTCAATCTCTGCTTGTATTTTACCATCTTACCTGTTTTCTAATCTGTTGCCTTATCCATTCGGTAAGCTGCAGTACTTCTAGTACTACCGAAAGATCTTACCTTTACCCTGCAAGCAGAGTCTCCTTCAATCTTCATAGAAAAATTGGGAAGAGGGAGGATTTTTCCAGGAGACGCTGCTTGCAGGGTATGACCTTGTGACCAGCAATTTATAGCAGGGCAGAGGGGGAATTTAAATTAAATTCCCATTAATGAATTAAGGCAATCACTTTTGAGGTACCGGTAGTGCCATATATTTATTTAAGTGAGGAATCTAAACAGTTGCTTGTTTGTTTGTTGTTTAGAAAAGAGAGACAGCTCTTCATTGGTGTGCCAGATCAGGAAACCACAAGATTGTGGAGGCATTCTTCACTTCCGAAGTGATTCCAGAGCATATCAAACTTTCTACTATCAACAGGACAACTGAGGTGATAAAATTTAATATTAAGTGATTCATCTTTGTACCAACTACTAGCTTCTGTGCCTGTTGACTGCACCAATGAGAAACTTAAGCAAACTTTGACAGGTTTTCATTTAATAGCTTTATGGACTTTTATCACTTAACTGCTTACTTTTACTGACTGTGTGACTGACAGACTGACTGACTGACTGACTGACTGACTGACTGACTGACTAACTGACTGACTGACTGACCAACTGATCGATCAATGGTACATCCGACTGACTAATCACCCACCAATTAACTGACTGAGCAAGCAATCAACTGACCAACCGATCAACTGATCGACCAACTGATCGACTGGCCCACCAACCAACTGACTCTGACTGAGAAAAAAAAGCATAGTAACCATGGTTGATTATCATTAATAAATATATTCTCATACAGTGGAACTGCAATCAGAAAACATGTTACTAACAATGATCAAAATGTTACTTGAGGCTGTTGTTGAATTCAAAACACTTGAAATATCATATGTATGATGTAGATGTTTCTTTTTTGTTTGTTTAATTCAGAGTGGGGCATCTCCACTGATGATCGCCTCACAATATGGCATGTTGGAAGTGGTGCGAGCACTCCTGAGGTTTCACGCTAGAGTTGATGTTTTCGATGAGGTAACTGAAGGCCACCTTGCTACAAAAACGTATACAGAATTTGTCAGCTGTACAATATTTTGATTTTCCAGAATACATGAAGTGTGAACTGCTCATCCCTGGCAATAATCTTTCAAGGATCAAAAATTCTTGACAATCTTTGTGGGAATCTTATTGAGGATCGTTTCACACTTAAATCTTCTCATGAAGGTAGCAAATTAATATGTTTACTCCAACAAAATATGGGCAAATTTAGCAATAATTTTCAACGTATGCCATTCTTACCCTTAGATCTAGCTCTACAAAAGGATAGTTGTAATTTTTTCATACTAGAGTTAACCCAAAATGTTATTACATGTGAGAAGAAAGAGACAATTAAACTTTACATTGTATACATGTAACTGAAGCATACTTGAGGTGAATTGTTTATTTGATTTCCAGGTGGGTGGTACAGCTCTCCATTATGCAGCATCCAGAGGCCATGTAGATGTTGCTCGTGAACTGCTGAATCACAAAGCTTACGTGAATGGAAGGACCAAGGTTTGTATTAATTATTAGCATTGACAGCTTTATTTACCATCAAATAGGAACTTGCCATTTTCATTCACAGCTTTACGTACCATCAAATGTGCAATCACAGTGAACCTAGTGGCCTATGTGTTACAAGTGTGAGAAATTAACTTTAAAAGTTAATAAGTGTCCTGTCCCTTACAGTTGTTTAGAGCTCATTAGGATAATGATAACTTTTTTAACTTTTCAAGATTGCCCATTGCAAGTGTTTGTTGGCAGTCAATGGCTGACCTTCAGTCACTGGATAAGAACTTACACTCTGCCTTGGCAGATGTAAAATTGTCCATGCTTTGAACTATTGAGCCTGCAAAGTAAATAGTAAATTAAAGTAAAAAATAAATTTCTTATTGTGCTACTCCCCACTAGTTAGAAGTAAAATGCTTAGATGCTTAATTGTGGTAAAATAAGTGTCAAATTGTATAAAGTCCCAAGCTACGTGTGTAACTTAATAATTTATTACAATAAACTTATGCAGTAGTTTAAGTCTTGAGTATGTGTAATAAAAAATCTTCACTGGCTAATCCGTAATGATCACGTACATTGTCCATGTAATTTCTGGCCACATTTTATAATTTTATAACCTATTGAATTTTTAACTTAAGAAGCCAGAATTAATGAATAACTCTTATCTAAACCATTTCTAACTGTGCCTCTGTTGTCTATGTGTCGACTATACAATAATTGGCTAAAACTGCTGTGGACAATAAATCCTTGACTTGGTCAGCTAGATCAATAATCATTGACTAATGTGACACATTCATTTTCGCAAATATTGTTCATAAAAAAATATCTGCAATCTTTGTCTTACTCTGTCATAGTGTTAATGTTTGCTATTTTAAGCTTAACATTTAACGCTGAACCTAAGAAAACAAACAGAAAGCTGACACCCATTACTACAGCAACACTGTTCCTCTGTGGATCCTACAACCTTTTAATTCATCCATATGGCTCAAAAATGCCCATTACTGTTACATTCTTTATGAACCTCAAATGACAGGCAGGGAGTGGTGTACAGGGAGTGGTGATATTTATTGCTCCAAATGCCAGTCAATAGGTTGGATGGACTACATGTAGTAGAAACCCAAACAGGAAAATAACTAGACACAAACATCATCATCATTATCATTACAATAATGACTGTCATCATCATCATTATTATAATAATGACTGTCGTCATCATCATTATTATAATAATGACTGTCGTCATCATCATTATTACTGTCATCATCCGTCCTTATCTTGAAGCATAAACACAACCAAGTTACAAGAGAGTGATATCACAATCACATTGCTGAACACCATGGACTAACAAAAATCTTTATTACAGTTACTGAAGAGTGTACTGTGAACTTCTTTTATGGTCTTTCTTTGGAAAGCTGATGGACAAATCCACATACTGGAACACATACCTCTCAACCAATGCCAACAACTACCAACATTTTATAACCAACCCATTCAAGACCTTAACAAAATCAAAGAACAAAACCAACAAAAATTTAACTAACAGCCAATATAACATCACAACAAAACAGACAAGTTATAAGCTTCAAACAGCAGAGTTATTCACAGTGGACTGACAAAACGTTTTTACTCGACTCTGGAGATGACTTCCACTCACTAACAAGTGTTCTTTTCATCACCACTGTTGCCTGGACAATCACATTAGACAAACTACTGTGCTTAACGCCTCACTGACCCCTGACACCATTGTTCACTGCTTACCATTTAATAGTTAATCCTTAACCTCATCTTTGCATGATTAATGTTCTCATTGCAGCCAAATCTCCGCTATTCAGCCAGTAAATCACGTGGTGACAGAGAAGATATGCCTGTAAGGGCCTACCTAATTTGCAACATCACTGACATATATTTTAATTTTAACATCAATTCAAGTTTAGATATTAAAATGCACCCTTAAAGTTTTCTTGTTGTAAGTAGTTTTCAAGTAATACATCAAACATGAAAGACCGTGTTTGACCATGTTTCCAAATACCAAGAAGAGAGTTGAAACACGATGCATAGTGGAGTATTTTTGATGAACTTTGAGGTGTTTGATGTGGTCAAACACTGTCTTGAGTGTTTGATATATCTTCTCAATCAAAATAAGACTAAGGAGAAAATTTAGAAATAAAATCATAAAAATGTATGCTAATTAAGATCAGATATCCAAACACTGTCACGGTCATGATTTCCTTTGCTTAAACTTTATGAATTATTAAATAATGAATCTGAGAAAATTCTATCTATATCAAATAGTTCACAAGCATCTCATTGCATGTTTGACTTTAGGGCCAGTTAATGTTTTCAACACTGGGTTTGTTATTGTGACATGGCTCTTGGCTAGGCTGGTTCTAATTGCTTAACATATATATTACCATATGGCAAATAACAAGATAAAAAATAGACAATAGAACATTAAATTATGGATAACTCGATCAGATAAGCTGCAAAAACACTGATTATGCATGCACCTAAAGGTTAATGGCTGTAAAATTACACAAAGTCTAGTAATAATAATTATTGTTAAAGTAAAAATTTAAACTTCTACACCTAATATATATAGGTCACATTTCATCAAGAAACACAAGCTCAAACATTTCAAAATAAGAAGATTATTACTTAAACAGCATACACAAATAATTTAAATTCCTTTATCGCCACATTCTTCATGTGTATGCTACAGTGTAAAATAGTTTTGTAATAAGAGACATTAAAACCAAAGTAATCAGATTTGTCATTGCAACAAATAACTGAATAATTTCATCAGGACTGTGAGTTAATCTTGTAACTGGTGGCAGGTAGGGAAAAAGGCCTGTAGACCAAATTATATTAAGTACCTAATGCCATAGGTCCGCAAAGCGTGCAAAGGACTTCAGCTACAGTGTTCAGCATGCATTGCATGCTTAAGCAATAATCAGTGTTTATTCAGTAACTGCTAGCCAAAAGACAGTATCTTAACTTTAAATATTGAGAACATGCTTACATAACTTTAATTTAATTTAATTTTATTTAATTTTATTTAATTTTATTTTTATTTTATTTTATTTTATTTTTATTTTATGTTATTTTATTTTATTTCATTTTGTTTGTTCTAAGAAAACAATAAGCCGAGACTATTTATAGAGAGTGACGCAATCTTGAGCATTAGTCCTCCATTTTATCAAACTGGTTGATGAAGGGCTAATGCTCAGAATGTCAGTCTCACTATCACACTATGGTGGTTAATTTACCTTTATCAACTTGAAGTTTATAAATAGCCAAGCCTTTCACTTGCCTACCGACACAGCCTGGATCATGTGTACTAAAAGTGTCTGCGGTCAAGTGTTGATCAACACCCTCGATCGACCCTCGATCAATACTTGATCGACACTCCATCAACACCTTGGTTGGCACTCGATCGACACTCCATCAACATCTCGGTTGACAGTTGGTCAAGAGTCAACTAATTGTCGATCAATTCATAGGAGTTGGTCAACACTTGGCCAACTATTGACCGACTGTTGATCAAGTGTTGATAGAGTGTCAACCGATTATCAATAAGGATGTTGATCGAGTATTGATCAAGATGTCGATCAAGGGTATGAATCAAGAGTATCGATTAACACTCAGTTGCAGATACCTTTAGTACACGTGATCCCACAGCCGTACAGTTTCTCTAGAAACTAATACCTTCATAAAAAGAAAATGCATCTGCTCAAACATTTTCTCATTGAAGCCAGAAACTATACTATAATATTTATTACATTATATTAGCTTTTAGTATAAATCTACTAGCGTTCTATCATGAATACTCTTCTCTGATTGGCTACGCTACTCACTATCTATTCTGTGATAGATAGTGAGTAGCATGCTAGTGTGCACTTGTTAACAAAATGACGGCCGCTTCTTGGCGTTTTCGAAGTGTCTGTGAAGAGGGTTTAGATAAAGTTTTGAACGACTAGTAGATTTATGCTAAAACAATTAGATTATTTGCTCTCGATTTCTATGCGTGATAGTTGACTCAGGCTGCACCCCCGTCAACTATCACGCGACAGAAATCTCGAGATCAGAATCTAATTGCTTAATAGATAGATTATATACTATGCAGAAGTTCTTCTAATGCTTGTGGTCTTCTTTTCAGATTGGTCTAACTCCACTTCATATTGCGGCTGAGAAAGGTCACCCAGAGTTTGTACGTGTGATTGTAACAAAGTACAACGCCATTATTGATCCACTTACTGTGGTAAGCAGTCTCAAGCAGTTGTTGAACGATTTTTCTTTCAGAAAATGGAAATATTCATAAGGTTGTTTCAGATTCAAATTCAGATTCATTCATTTATAGTTAGTTATAAAATGGACCTAATCTAATTTTACCCTGCAGTATTGATACTTTTTTTGAAGCAAACTGATAATTAGCCAATAACTATCGTCAAGCCAACAACCCATCCAGAAGTCTAGGAAAGGAGAAATCTGCTATACGGAAGTTTTCAAATGAGTGTGGTAAAATCAAACCCAAAGTGAATACTCTGGCCAGTCACAATCCAGGGAACCAATCAAAAAACTCAAAATAAATACATGTAGGTGAAGCAAAGCGCGGAAAAACGTGTGCAAGCGAGTCACGATGGGGTTTGGTTTTAATTCTGATTGGGTGACAAAGTAGCGCGGCTTTTTTTAGCCAATCGCTGAGTATAGTAATGTAAAACCAAGGTAATTACATGATCGAATTACAGGGTTGCCTCAGGTCAGGAAATGGCCGGGGAAAAAGTCAGGAGGAATTGATATTTTGAAGAAAAGTCAGGGAAAATTGAAATAATTTAACACGGCTGATTTAATACCATTGAAGGATGGTAGAGACATTTGGGGTCACTGTGATCTCATCGACATTTTTACGTCACGAGGAAGGACAATTTGTTGAAAATTACTTACTTTGATTAGTCTTAATGAAAGAGTGGAAAGGACAGCTGTAAAATGAGGCTAGAAGCCGCTGTTGTATATGATATTTTGTATTTGTTGGGTCAGGGAAATTTTATTTTTATCAGGGGAAAGTCAGGGAATTTTGTAGCAACCATGAATTTTAATAATCCAGTGAAAACCGCTCTATTCTTCTCACGTACTGTTAGTTTATGAATGATGTTTTTTTTTTTCTCTTAGGACAAAAAGAGTCCTCTGCATGTAGCTGCGGGGAATGGTAGAACCGAAGTGTGCAAGGTACTTCTTGATCTCCGAGCCGATGCCAGTGTAGCAGACAGTGTGAGTTGAATTCATTGTCCCTCTCTGTCTAAGGCTATTTTTGACAAGTTCTTTTTCACCCAGAAATCTTTCCAGCAGATTGTAGGGAAGGCTAACTGGCTGACCATATCACAACTTAGCTAATTACCTGACCAGACGTGGAGCGAAGTACCTTTATACGATAACCGCAAAACTCCACAGCTACTTTGACAGTGTTATGACGAAATTCATGATCAATAACAGGACAGACGCATGAAAAACTGACGTCAATTTGTTAAATCGATGGCGATATCGGTCCCGCGTTTTTCGTCAGCGAAGTTGCTTGGTAACATGACGTCGCCTTATCGAGTCGCGCTGACGTCAGTGCTCATGCTAATTTTTGATTGGATGAAAAGATTTGGCGAAGATTTCCCTTGGTGTGACCTGCCATTTCCAGAAAGTAGCAACTTGCCACTGCCGACCATTGCCAATGTTAAATGCCCTTCGCACGCTACGCGCGCATTACTTAGTATGAGTAACTGTCCGACTATTTTCAGAAATTGCTTGTTCGCAATATGGAAACCTGAAAGAAAACGTAGCTTTAAAAAAAAAACACGCGACTGCTAAATATCCAAGTATATCATTTTGATTGACTTTTATTGTGTTTTCCTACAGAAAGACATGATTCCTGTCCATTATGCTGCTCTGAACGACAAGGAGGAAATCGTGGAATTATTCTTCAACGTCAGACCTGACACCATGACACAAATCGACGCGGTACGCGCTTTGTTTGTCACTAAACAAAGTTTCTGACCAAAATTTCAAACATTGCTGAATCGCAACGTCGTTTAAGCTGCCCATAACACTAGCTTGTTACTGATACCTGGAAGAAGTTCCTCAATTCAAATATTCATGCAATGCTAATAATGACTTTGAAAATAAATGGTTAACCTAATGGGGGGTGGGAGGTGGGGGTAACCTAATGGGGGGTGGGAGGAGGGGGTTTCAGCAGTTTCCAAAATAAATTCCTGCACAGCAGAAACGGCCGAAAACAAATCGCGCAATGGGAGCCATAGGGAAAAAATCGAACAGCTGCTTTTTGATTTGTGATGTTTAAAAGAATTCTTGCACAAGCTATTGCCCACCAGAAAAAATCATGCACAACCTAAAGGTGTGAAGCGGCTATAAAAAGCCCTGAATAAACGTCATTCTAGTGGCGTCAATATGGATATCTAACAGAAACTGCCTTCACACGTGTACACTTGTCATTTTGTTTGTTCCGTTAGGAGGGATTGAACGCGTTACAGATTGCTGCTTCCAGTGGTAGTCTTAAGGTGGTGAGGAAATTGGTTGAGCTTGACTTTGCCAAATGTTCAGCTGATACGGTAATGATTTAAATGTTTGTTTTCTATTTTCCGAAACGCTACAAAGATAGACAAAACATGACGATGTGTATCTTGAGTTAAAAAAAATGGTCAAGTTTCTTGCATCGTTTCAAACGTTTTGCTCTGTCACACAGGGTGTTCTGTGCAAACCGCTCCTTCTAGCTGCTCGAGGAGGCCACAAAGACATTGTGGAATTTTTATTAGAAAAGGGAGCTTCGCCTACTGAGGAAGACACGGTAAAACTAAGCACACGTTTAATTAATCCTTTCATTGTCAATTTTAATCCCCATCTAATTTTTCCTGACAACATCAAAACGTTTTCAAGCAGACAGTTGAAGGGAGTAAAGCAATTCGTGCACGAAGATATTTTCGTGATGAAACATGAAATTCTCAGAACTTGCTTAAAAGAAATGTATGATAGTAAGTAGGGAGAATTGACATTGGGGCCGAACGGTTAAAATGCATTGCTTTGATACATCGCGTAATGACACATGACAGATACAAAGTTGATAGTTCACCGACGAGAGAAACGTGACATTAGTGTACTCGAACTCAAATGGCCGTATTTATACACGAAAAAAACACTAGACGACTGTGACGAGTTTGCACATTTGGAAAACGCATAAGACAGGCTTGTTATTCGTCTGAGACTTCAAATACGTCACAGATGAAAATATTGCCTTTGATTACCGTCCTTCACGCTTTAGTCAAGGCGGTAACAAAGTCACCAATTCAAAGAAATGTAAAGAAAAGTTCTCTTGATCTCGTTATTTTTAGTGTCTAATACCTACGTAGACGTAACTTATTTTAGCCGTATTATGCGCCTGAGACGTACATTTTGTATCGTTTGTCTACTAAGATAATTACGGAAAATACTTGCGAAATCTCTGAAAAGGAGTTTATCCTAACATAACCTGTAACTGAGCCTTGTGCTCTTTTAAGTATATGTCCTGCTAACCTTCACTATAAGATTAAGACCTGTCTTATATTTTGTCCTATTGTTTGTTTCTAGGAAGGCAACAGCGTGTTGCATTTAGCCGCCAAGTTTGGTCAGCTCAAAGTTATCGATATGCTGTGGGGGAAGACGGCTATAAACCGAACAAGTGTCAAGGTATGCGCTTGATTTTCATCTGATTAAATATTGTTTTTGCTGTTGTTCTTGTTGTTGCTGTTGTTGTTGTTGTTGTTGCCATTGTTGTTGTTGTTGATAAAGACTGTTGTTTTTCTTCTTTGCTCATAGAACGGAATGACTGCCATCCACGTTGCTGCCTTATTTGGTCAGACAGAAATTGTCCAGGAATTCCTCTCCAGGGCCCCTCAAACTGCCACACTAGTCAGTGAGGTGAGAAACCTTCAGTTTATCAGCCCTTTCCGATTTCTATAAGATGAAGCGACTGGAAATATTTCCTACTTTCCCAGGATGAGATGCTTGTCCTCTCAAAGGTTACTCACTAGAATTTTGGCAGGTTTTCCTAACCTACCTACCTATACCTATATTTTTCCATGCCATAAGGCACTTAAGGCTTTGACATTCTCCTTTCATCCACCTTGATTTGCTGCTAGAGCTCAGAAAGTTCCCCAAGACCAGTACCCAGCTGCGCGCCTTTCGTCCTCAGCCGCTCTCTTCCATATTATTTTGGGTCACTCTGGTCTGCTTCTCCTCTCTGGCCTCCACTCCAGTGCTGTTTTCCTACCCGTTGGCCGATAATAATTTTACTCCTGGGTACAGAGGAAGAAGTGTGACCTTCTATGCTACTCTGAATACCGTTTTCATGATCGATCGGAATGTTTGATGCTCTACACAGGAGCGGATCCAGGATTCTGCAAGGGGGAGGAGGATGGTACCTTGAGATGGTACCTTGAGACTGCAGAATCAATGGGGCATGCCCCAAAATTTGAAAATTGGAACTTAATTGAAAACTGTTACACCACAAATACTAGCAATAACACAAAGAAGAACTTACAGAGAGTTACCTGGCCAGAGTGTTTGCCTTAATTTCTGCTACAGTATTCACTACAATATTCAATATTTTTGCTTCCTCAAAAGGGGTTTGGCTAGCCACCTAATCACTGTCCCGGCCCCCTCCCACCTAAATCCTCCCCTGCTACAGTCGTGCAGTGCAGGTCTTGAGAAGATTCTGTTTTGTTCTTGTTTCAGCGTCCTGCTGATAGCGAGGAAGAGGACGAAGACGTGAGTGTGGATAATGATTGAACACATTTTAGTGAAGATCCTGTTCTTTAACTAGGATACATAAAAAGACTGTCGGTTTTATTGACTGAAACACATTCTACAGCTATATACGAGAAGTATTGTTTGTTTGCTCATTCGTTCAGTCAGTAGACCAAACAAAATTTAACGGTATTAATGTACTGCATGCAATACATATACTGTATGCAATTTTGCGACGCTGCCGTGTAATCCTTCTCGGCTGTTTTTATTCTTGTTAGTTTGGATTCACGCCTCTTCACCTTGCGGCTCAAAATGGCGACAACACTCTTGTACGAGCCATCACAAATCATCCTGGAGTACGAGTGGATTCTGTAACATTAAAGGCGGTGGGTTGATTGTATCTTTCACAATTACGCCAGGCTTTAAACAATGACTGCATGTTATTTATGATTCCTTTCAGGTTTATGGCCGTTTTCAAGTTGTATATCAAACACAAGAGAACGTGTTTGATCACATTTCCAAACACCGTGAAGAGAGTTGAAGATACATGTAGTTGCAAATACTGCGAGCGGTGGAGTATTTTTGACGAACTGCGAGGTGTTTGGAAAAGTATTAAACACAGCCTTGAGTGTTTGATATGTCTTTCCAATCGAAACTAAAACTAAGGGGAAAATATAAAAATCTATGCTAATTGTGATCAGATATACAAATACACACAATTATGATTAGTTTAAGCGTGATGAATATATAAACGAGTTTGAAAATGTAACAGAATCACCTAAAATAGCTTAACGCAAGCTCTTTAAGATAACGTGACAACACTTTTATATGGCAGCTCTAAATAGCATTTGTCGGTAGAAGATTGCAAGGGGAGTTTAAGTTGGACATCTTTACTGTTACGTAACTAGTGTTCCTCTTCTACACTCGATCTATAGGGTCGTACAGCACTTCATATAGCATCCCTGGAAGGACACGTGGAAGTCGCCAGCACTTTGATTAGCAAAGCTACGGCCTTGCTGCACCAGGTGGATAATGAAGGTCGTACTTCTCTTCATCTGGCTGCTGCTAATGGACACAGAGACCTGCTCACGATTCTGATTGGTCAAGGAGCTGAGATTGACGCCCAGGATAATGTAAGCTGGAGAGAGCGTGAATGCTTAGTTTTCCATCAATGAACATATGGGCGCTTTCCATTGAACCAAAAATTTGAAAATTTTCGAAACGGGGACCAATGGTACGGTAATTTCCTGGGAAAGCTTCCAGAAACTCCGGAAACTGTANAAAACGTGTGCAAGCGAGTCACGATGGGGTTTGGTTTTAATTCTGATTGGGTGACAAAGTAGCGCGGCTTTTTTTAGCCAATCGCTGAGTATAGTAATGTAAAACCAAGGTAATTACATGATCGAATTACAGGGTTGCCTCAGGTCAGGAAATGGCCGGGGAAAAAGTCAGGAGGAATTGATATTTTGAAGAAAAGTCAGGGAAAATTGAAATAATTTAACACGGCTGATTTAATACCATTGAAGGATGGTAGAGACATTTGGGGTCACTGTGATCTCATCGACATTTTTACGTCACGAGGAAGGACAATTTGTTGAAAATTACTTACTTTGATTAGTCTTAATGAAAGAGTGGAAAGGACAGCTGTAAAATGAGGCTAGAAGCCGCTGTTGTATATGATATTTTGTATTTGTTGGGTCAGGGAAATTTTATTTTTATCAGGGGAAAGTCAGGGAATTTTGTAGCAACCATGAATTTTAATAATCCAGTGAAAACCGCTCTATTCTTCTCACGTACTGTTAGTTTATGAATGATGTTGTTTTTTTTCTCTTAGGACAAAAAGAGTCCTCTGCATGTAGCTGCGGGGAATGGTAGAACCGAAGTGTGCAAGGTACTTCTTGATCTCCGAGCCGATGCCAGTGTAGCAGACAGTGTGAGTTGAATTCATTGTCCCTCTCTGTCTAAGGCTATTTTTGACAAGTTCTTTTTCACCCAGAAATCTTTCCAGCAGATTGTAGGGAAGGCTAACTGGCTGACCATATCACAACTTAGCTAATTACCTGACCAGACGTGGAGCGAAGTACCTTTATACGATAACCGCAAAACTCCACAGCTACTTTGACAGTGTTATGACGAAATTCATGATCAATAACAGGACAGACGCATGAAAAACTGACGTCAATTTGTTAAATCGATGGCGATATCGGTCCCGCGTTTTTCGTCAGCGAAGTTGCTTGGTAACATGACGTCGCCTTATCGAGTCGCGCTGACGTCAGTGCTCATGCTAATTTTTGATTGGATGAAAAGATTTGGCGAAGATTTCCCTTGGTGTGACCTGCCATTTCCAGAAAGTAGCAACTTGCCACTGCCGACCATTGCCAATGTTAAATGCCCTTCGCACGCTACGCGCGCATTACTTAGTATGAGTAACTGTCCGACTATTTTCAGAAATTGCTTGTTCGCAATATGGAAACCTGAAAGAAAACGTAGCTTTAAAAAAAAAACACGCGACTGCTAAATATCCAAGTATATCATTTTGATTGACTTTTATTGTGTTTTCCTACAGAAAGACATGATTCCTGTCCATTATGCTGCTCTGAACGACAAGGAGGAAATCGTGGAATTATTCTTCAACGTCAGACCTGACACCATGACACAAATCGACGCGGTACGCGCTTTGTTTGTCACTAAACAAAGTTTCTGACCAAAATTTCAAACATTGCTGAATCGCAACGTCGTTTAAGCTGCCCATAACACTAGCTTGTTACTGATACCTGGAAGAAGTTCCTCAATTCAAATATTCATGCAATGCTAATAATGACTTTGAAAATAAATGGTTAACCTAATGGGGGGTGGGAGGTGGGGGTAACCTAATGGGGGGTGGGAGGAGGGGGTTTCAGCAGTTTCCAAAATAAATTCCTGCACAGCAGAAACGGCCGAAAACAAATCGCGCAATGGGAGCCATAGGGAAAAAATCGAACAGCTGCTTTTTGATTTGTGATGTTTAAAAGAATTCTTGCACAAGCTATTGCCCACCAGAAAAAATCATGCACAACCTAAAGGTGTGAAGCGGCTATAAAAAGCCCTGAATAAACGTCATTCTAGTGGCGTCAATATGGATATCTAACAGAAACTGCCTTCACACGTGTACACTTGTCATTTTGTTTGTTCCGTTAGGAGGGATTGAACGCGTTACAGATTGCTGCTTCCAGTGGTAGTCTTAAGGTGGTGAGGAAATTGGTTGAGCTTGACTTTGCCAAATGTTCAGCTGATACGGTAATGATTTAAATGTTTGTTTTCTATTTTCCGAAACGCTACAAAGATAGACAAAACATGACGATGTGTATCTTGAGTTAAAAAAAATGGTCAAGTTTCTTGCATCGTTTCAAACGTTTTGCTCTGTCANTTTTCTACTTTCCGAAACGCTACAAAGATAGACAAAACATGACGATCTTGAGTTAAAGAAAATGGTCAAGTTTCTTGCACTGTGATAACTGCGTTTGCGCAAAGTTTTACACCGCGTTTTCTGCGCTCTAAGCTTTAGTGATTTACGGTACTTTTGCAGAGCCCAGACGGGCTCCCCAGAGTTCAGGGACTGCAATGTAGCCAACTGCGGCAATCAACATTTATTATCTAATTAGTTACCTCGTTTTCTACAAGATTCATGCTTTCATGTGTTCTTGACATTGATATTATTAATTTGCTTGCTACCAGATTCTTTTTTTTCCTGCGCATGCCACTGGTTGCATGTTTCTCGTGCTTGCACAGGTTACATTTTTCCCGCGCTTGTCTCCGCGCTTGAGATTGATTACATGTTTCCCGCGCTTGCCATAGGTTACATGTTCCACCCTTACCACTAGCTACGTTTCAAACATTTTGCTCTGTCACACAGGGTGTTCTGTGCAAACCGCTCCTTCTAGCTGCTCGAGGAGGCCACAAAGACATTGTGGAATTTTTATTAGAAAAGGGAGCTTCGCCTACTGAGGAAGACACGGTAAAACTAAGCACACGTTTAATTAATCCTTTCATTGTCAATTTTAATCCCCATCTAATTTTTCCTGACAACATCAAAACGTTTTCAAGCAGACAGTTGAAGGGAGTAAAGCAATTCGTGCACGAAGATATTTTCGTGATGAAACATGAAATTCTCAGAACTTGCTTAAAAGAAATGTATGATAGTAAGTAGGGAGAATTGACATTGGGGCCGAACGGTTAAAATGCATTGCTTTGATACATCGCGTAATGACACATGACAGATACAAAGTTGATAGTTCACCGACGAGAGAAACGTGACATTAGTGTACTCGAACTCAAATGGCCGTATTTATACACGAAAAAAACACTAGACGACTGTGACGAGTTTGCACATTTGGAAAACGCATAAGACAGGCTTGTTATTCGTCTGAGACTTCAAATACGTCACAGATGAAAATATTGCCTTTGATTACCGTCCTTCACGCTTTAGTCAAGGCGGTAACAAAGTCACCAATTCAAAGAAATGTAAAGAAAAGTTCTCTTGATCTCGTTATTTTTAGTGTCTAATACCTACGTAGACGTAACTTATTTTAGCCGTATTATGCGCCTGAGACGTACATTTTGTATCGTTTGTCTACTAAGATAATTACGGAAAATACTTGCGAAATCTCTGAAAAGGAGTTTATCCTAACATAACCTGTAACTGAGCCTTGTGCTCTTTTAAGTATATGTCCTGCTAACCTTCACTATAAGATTAAGACCTGTCTTATATTTTGTCCTATTGTTTGTTTCTAGGAAGGCAACAGCGTGTTGCATTTAGCCGCCAAGTTTGGTCAGCTCAAAGTTATCGATATGCTGTGGGGGAAGACGGCTATAAACCGAACAAGTGTCAAGGTATGCGCTTGATTTTCATCTGATTAAATATTGTTTTTGCTGTTGTTCTTGTTGTTGCTGTTGTTGTTGTTGTTGTTGCCATTGTTGTTGTTGTTGATAAAGACTGTTGTTTTTCTTCTTTGCTCATAGAACGGAATGACTGCCATCCACGTTGCTGCCTTATTTGGTCAGACAGAAATTGTCCAGGAATTCCTCTCCAGGGCCCCTCAAACTGCCACACTAGTCAGTGAGGTGAGAAACCTTCAGTTTATCAGCCCTTTCCGATTTCTATAAGATGAAGCGACTGGAAATATTTCCTACTTTCCCAGGATGAGATGCTTGTCCTCTCAAAGGTTACTCACTAGAATTTTGGCAGGTTTTCCTAACCTACCTACCTATACCTATATTTTTCCATGCCATAAGGCACTTAAGGCTTTGACATTCTCCTTTCATCCACCTTGATTTGCTGCTAGAGCTCAGAAAGTTCCCCAAGACCAGTACCCAGCTGCGCGCCTTTCGTCCTCAGCCGCTCTCTTCCATATTATTTTGGGTCACTCTGGTCTGCTTCTCCTCTCTGGCCTCCACTCCAGTGCTGTTTTCCTACCCGTTGGCCGATAATAATTTTACTCCTGGGTACAGAGGAAGAAGTGTGACCTTCTATGCTACTCTGAATACCGTTTTCATGATCGATCGGAATGTTTGATGCTCTACACAGGAGCGGATCCAGGATTCTGCAAGGGGGAGGAGGATGGTACCTTGAGATGGTACCTTGAGACTGCAGAATCAATGGGGCATGCCCCAAAATTTGAAAATTGGAACTTAATTGAAAACTGTTACACCACAAATACTAGCAATAACACAAAGAAGAACTTACAGAGAGTTACCTGGCCAGAGTGTTTGCCTTAATTTCTGCTACAGTATTCACTACAATATTCAATATTTTTGCTTCCTCAAAAGGGGTTTGGCTAGCCACCTAATCACTGTCCCGGCCCCCTCCCACCTAAATCCTCCCCTGCTACAGTCGTGCAGTGCAGGTCTTGAGAAGATTCTGTTTTGTTCTTGTTTCAGCGTCCTGCTGATAGCGAGGAAGAGGACGAAGACGTGAGTGTGGATAATGATTGAACACATTTTAGTGAAGATCCTGTTCTTTAACTAGGATACATAAAAAGACTGTCGGTTTTATTGACTGAAACACATTCTACAGCTATATACGAGAAGTATTGTTTGTTTGCTCATTCGTTCAGTCAGTAGACCAAACAAAATTTAACGGTATTAATGTACTGCATGCAATACATATACTGTATGCAATTTTGCGACGCTGCCGTGTAATCCTTCTCGGCTGTTTTTATTCTTGTTAGTTTGGATTCACGCCTCTTCACCTTGCGGCTCAAAATGGCGACAACACTCTTGTACGAGCCATCACAAATCATCCTGGAGTACGAGTGGATTCTGTAACATTAAAGGCGGTGGGTTGATTGTATCTTTCACAATTACGCCAGGCTTTAAACAATGACTGCATGTTATTTATGATTCCTTTCAGGTTTATGGCCGTTTTCAAGTTGTATATCAAACACAAGAGAACGTGTTTGATCACATTTCCAAACACCGTGAAGAGAGTTGAAGATACATGTAGTTGCAAATACTGCGAGCGGTGGAGTATTTTTGACGAACTGCGAGGTGTTTGGAAAAGTATTAAACACAGCCTTGAGTGTTTGATATGTCTTTCCAATCGAAACTAAAACTAAGGGGAAAATATAAAAATCTATGCTAATTGTGATCAGATATACAAATACACACAATTATGATTAGTTTAAGCGTGATGAATATATAAACGAGTTTGAAAATGTAACAGAATCACCTAAAATAGCTTAACGCAAGCTCTTTAAGATAACGTGACAACACTTTTATATGGCAGCTCTAAATAGCATTTGTCGGTAGAAGATTGCAAGGGGAGTTTAAGTTGGACATCTTTACTGTTACGTAACTAGTGTTCCTCTTCTACACTCGATCTATAGGGTCGTACAGCACTTCATATAGCATCCCTGGAAGGACACGTGGAAGTCGCCAGCACTTTGATTAGCAAAGCTACGGCCTTGCTGCACCAGGTGGATAATGAAGGTCGTACTTCTCTTCATCTGGCTGCTGCTAATGGACACAGAGACCTGCTCACGATTCTGATTGGTCAAGGAGCTGAGATTGACGCCCAGGATAATGTAAGCTGGAGAGAGCGTGAATGCTTAGTTTTCCATCAATGAACATATGGGCGCTTTCCATTGAACCAAAAATTTGAAAATTTTCGAAACGGGGACCAATGGTACGGTAATTTCCTGGGAAAGCTTCCAGAAACTCCGGAAACTGTAGAATTTCAGAAAAGCGAGTCATAGAACGGTAATTGCTGAAAATTTCTGTGTGCCTCGCAAGGTTGTCCTCTTCTCCTGAAATTCCGGAAATTGCTCTTCCATTTGTCTCTGGAAATTTCCTTGAATCCAAATCGAAATTTTTCATCGAATGGAAAGCGCCCATATGTCTTTCGGGAACCATGGTCATGATGAATATGTTGAAGCTTTGGTTTGATTCCTTTGTTATGTTGTTTCTCTCTTCTCAGCTTGGTAACACCGCTCTTCACATTGCCGCCGGAGCTGGCTACCAGGCAGTAGTGAAGCTGCTGATGGAGTATGGTGCTTCACCTTTGATCGAGAATAAGGTTTGGCATTCACAAGAACTTTCATGATTATTCAATTTCCGCCAAATAGTAAATTCTCGACCCTGCACTCACAAAAGACGAAAACCAAAATATTAGAAAGAAAATAAACCAAACCCACATCATAAAATGGTTTCTGCAACAGTAGGAGTGCCGAGCCAAAAGAACGTAGCTAACGACGTGATATTAAGTCACGTCATCTGCGTGACACTAATTCAACTAGAGTAAGTTGTTAAGTCACGTCAGCTGCGTGACACCAATTCAACTAGAGTAAGTTGTTAAGTCACGTCAGCTGCATGACATCAATCCAAAGAGAGAGCGTGGCTAACGGCGTGATGTTAAATGTTGATTTTCTTCTAGTCTGAGGATGTAGCGATTTGTCACGCGGCAAGTGAACGACACATTGAGGTGCTGGATTTCTTGCTCGCTCAAAAACTGAATCACGACCGACTTCTGAGTAACAAAAAGGTACGTTTGTCATACTTAAGGACAATTTTTGTCACACCAAACTCTATTGAGTTAGCTACAATGTCGCTGCATAGGGGTCACTTTAGAGCTCAAGTGATTTTCTTCTGGGTGCGGCGCATATTTGAGAGGTTGTTCTTTCGAGTGAAGGAAATATTCACGTAAATCTTACTTCCGCAAAGAACAAATTGAAGAAGGGAGAGGAGGGTAGGTCCGGCATACAGTGACGTTCAGTGTCCCGGTATTTTCCGTTCCCTTTTTCGGCTTTCGAAGACCAGGATATTTTCACGTTACTTTGATTCTCATTCTAGACGTTTGTTGTTTTTTTTTTCTCATTATAAGCGATCTTCTTTTTGTTGTTGCAGTTTTTAGTCGACCTTGTTATATGCTCCCGCTCGGGCAATCACAAATCTTTGATGAACTTTGTGCTTAGGTATGTATTACTCAAATTCGACTTTTAGTTTAGTCTATTATGTGATAAAAATGACTGACAAAGTGACTGATTGACTGACGAACAAGCGAGGAAGTGAGCGAACGAACGAAGGAACGGGTAAGCGAAAAGACCTTCTGATGGACGGACAGACGGTCAGAAGAACAGAACAACTAATAAACGTAAGGACGATGGATTTTCTGACCGGCGAAAGAACGAACTAATCGTGCTACGAAATCAGTGGCTTTTATAAACACGATGCTACGATACAGCTAGAAAATTCTAAAGACAGTCTGTAGACGGAACTAAAAACATTTCCCTCCCCATCCCGGAAACAAACTTCTCTCCTGGAAAAGTTGAAATACGGAACTTAGTGGCCCATCGGGCCGACGCTTATCTTCGGTTTCCGTAGCATAGAGTGGCTAGGAATATTTCTACTCCCGGATAGATGAGATGCTTATTCAACACCTTGCTATCCCTATTTATACACCTGGGTGAAAAGAGGCTCTGTGAGAGTAAAGTGTCTTGTTTAAGAACACATCGGAGTGACACCAGCCAGGGCTCGAACCTGGAGTCCAGCTCGCTAACCGTGAGGCCAGCGCGTCTTCCCTAGTCTAGGGTAAAAGTGGTTGTTTAAATTGACAGTTGATATGGTTTTATTTTCTTCAGTGCACCTGCACCAGTTCACATTTCCTCCTTCCTGTCGCGACACTACCGCATTGAAACCACTAAGAACAAAGAAAACACAGTGGAGCTGGACATAGCCAGCAGTTTCTGCGAGACCATGGCGAAGGATTTGATCAGCATCTCCTGCGCGGAGGATTCTGAAGCAGTCCTTAATTCCCTTGATGGAAAGAACGTGGCGTTTTTGGATTTCCTGATCGAATGCGAGCTGAAGCAGTGCGTATCGCATTCTCTAGTCCAACAGTACGTCACGCAGATCTGGTTTGGCGATCTCAAGTGGGAACAGTGGAAGTTTATGCTGTTGTTCCTTGTGGCGTTAATCTTCCCGCCCCTCTGGGTTTACCTGTCGCTTCCATTCAAGAACAAGCACCGACAGATCCCCATCATCAAGTTCATCTGCCGACTCATCTCCCACCTTTACCTGATCCTTATCCTGTGTCTGACAGTTGTCGTGCCCTGGAATTACTCCGGCCACGTCCTGACACCTCACTGGTACGAGTATTTCCTCTACATCTGGATCCTAGGTATGCTGCTGTCGGAGATCAGCAGCGAACGCGAACGAAGCGGTTTGGGATGGTTCCCTACCATCGTGGTCTTCTTGGCTCTTTTTTCGGAGCTGCTGCGGATCATTGCCATTGGCTATCACGGCTCCGAGAGACTTAACATCGTGTTCGTGCGAAACCAATGTCTGGGCGTGGCGCTGACGTTGTGCGTTCTACAGCTCCTTCAGTTTTTGTCCATTCACCGATTGTTTGGTCCCTGGGGAGTGATCATCGGCCATCTTGTCGTAGACGTGCTTCGCTTTCTGCTGATCTTGACCATCTTCTTCACCAGTTTCGCCTTGCAGCTCACCGCAGTTTTTAAGCCTTTAGAGGTAGACGGGGAGAACTCGTACACAGCCACGACGACAACGCCAGATTTCGTACTCATCGTGGAATTGCTCTTCTTTGGCATCTTTGGTCTGACAAATCAAAAGGACTTCTCTTCCATCACAGATGCGCCAGAAAATACCCGGAACATGTCGAAGGTGGTGTTCGGTCTCTACAATGTCCTGTGTATCATCGTCCTCATCAACCTCCTCATTGCCATGATGAGCGACACGTACCAACGGCTCCAAGAACAGTCCGACGTCGAGTGGAAGTTCGGACGCGCACGGCTCATCAGAAACATGGAACGCGAGACCGCCAACCCGACGCCCATCAATCTCTTCTCGAAACTGGTTCGCATCTGCAAGAGGTTGTACAGGACTCGCTGTCGGTGTCGCACGCCAGAGAACGCAGTGGCAGGGAGTGAGCCGAATGGCTTAAGCGCTCCTCAGCGCCGTCGAAAGCTAAGGGACAAGTTCAGGCGGGAAGAATCCATGGGTGAAAGTTCTTACCAGGAATGGTGTCTCATCTATTCCGTGGTCGACTGGGAGACCATTGTTGATAAGTTCTTGGATTCCAGGGGAGAGCCGACCTTGAGAAAGAAAACCAAACTGATGACGCGAAAAGAGCACAAGCGAACATTGCTACACGCCAGACCAGCTCAAATCGCTGGCGCAAGCAATCAAAATGTAAATTTTAGTGACATAGCGGACAGCACTGTTGTCAAAATGAACGTTGTCAGTTCCTTGAAGGTGTGATTTACCCGCCATGTTTGTGACGGTAAATGACGACAGCTTAAAACGCTTTTGTAAGGTCCCCAAGTCAATCAAATAGCCTGGCTAAAGCATTTGAAGTCTTTAAAAAGCCGTAGAATTCCATTTAGTTTTTTTCACACATTTTCTTGAACTCATTTTCTTGAAGATTTTGATGTTTCATGTAGATAACACGGGTTATCTGAACCTACACTCTCATAACCCTCCCGAGTTCATTTGTTATAGCATGGTTAAGAGAAGTTACAAGTAGATCAGTCTACACTAAGTTTACTAAAGAAAAGGTTTCATCAGACGTTCTCGTGTAACATAGAGGAAGCCGATCACTGAATTTTGGGTTGAGTCCTTTGCCTTCATAGTATCATAGTATTCCATTAATGTTGAGTAGTCCACTACTCACCCCCTGCGTCCATACCCGCTCTCCCTCCTTCCCCCCAGTCTCCCCCGTTTTGCGCCTGCGTAGCAGGCTAGTTAGTGGAAGATTTTCAATGCGCAGGCCGGGGATACGTTTATAAAAATATGATTCGTTTTCTAGTAGGCACGATGTTGAAAAATTTGAAGGGTTTCACGAATAGGCTTGTTTCAGGGGCCTGTGCCACGATGTCTTAAGTCATTTTTCTGATGTACAAAACTGCTTTCAAATTGAGGAAAATTCAGAATGATGGTTTTCTAAGGCAGAAAAACACCAAAGAAGTGATGATAAACTGAGGCCTTGTTCACACTAGCTTATTTGCTTTTAAGGACGCATACTTTCTGATGTATTTTTGCCAACCGATCGAAAACGCTCGTTGCTTTCATCGGAAACGCATACATTTGAAAACGCTGTCCAGAAGAGAGACTTCTGGAAGCGGAGCCTTATAGTATTGCTGTGAACAGCAAAAACGGAGGCTTTCTGAAATGTGTAAATTAAAGTTGTCATAGCCTATCAGCGTATTTGGACGGTCTGTGTGGTAGTGCAGACGGGGAGCGTTTTCAGATAAAACGCGTTATCAAAAACGCATCGTGTTGAAAACGTATTAGTGTGAACGAGAGCTGAAAATAAACAAGGGTAGTTAAAAGATTATGAGCGACGAAATGTGCCGCACGGTGTAGCCCTGTAAAGTTTAGCCTACAAATAGAGACGGATTTCCGACTGTTGTTTCACACCACCGAAGCAAGCGAGAGTTACGTCCGCGTTAGCCCGGATGGCATCGCAATTATTAAAATATATAACTGCGCATATGCTTGGCTAATAGCTATTGGCTATAATTTTGGTAAATCACGTTACTAACATTTTTACATCAGTATAGCAGGTAGCTTTAAATTTTGCAGGTGTTCAGTTAGTTGGGGCGCAGCGCAAAACACGGCGGAATGAAATAAAGGAGAGAGAGGCTTCGTGCGCAATTTCTGCGCTGCGCCCCCACTAACTGAACGCCTGGAAGAGGCTATAGAGCAAGCATTTCTATAGTTTACAGGCGTTGTCAACAGCTTGGGGTGTGGAGAGAATTTCCTAAGTCGGTTTGGTAAACACGTGTCTCGGACTTCTGATTTGGAAACGAACTAGTTTCTCATCTTACGGCATCCTGCTTAGAAATGAATGGTGTGTTTCAAACCCCATTAAAACATGGATGTTTTAAGAGTGATTGTTATATTTCGAAGGAGCTCAGTCACGGCATTTTGAGTTATTTTGGCCATGTACAAAATTACCTTTAAATTGAGGGAAACCTGAAATAGTAGTTTACTAAGATAGAAAAACACCAGAGATAATAATAAGCCATAGAAGAACAAAGATGGTTAAGGATGGAAAAGATTAACACGGATTACAAACGACCAACTTGAAATTTAGGCTTAACTTTTCAAGATGAGCAAACCGTGAAGTAGCTCCTTTGGACCCGTAAAAAACTATGCATGGTATATTACATGTAAAAACCATAGAAAAGCATGGGTTTCCTACATTCACAGAGGTGTCTTGGTGTGTGTTTAAGTTTAATTCACTAAAACACTTCTATGAACCGATTAAAGTTATTCAAATGATTAGTGCACGATTCCAGGAAAGAATCCCGTTTATTTCATATATTCTTCAGTTAGTTAGACAGCATGAGCGTGTGAAATACAATACATCCAGTGATATCTTAGATGTAATCAGATAATTTTCTAGCTATAATTTTCGCAGGTTCGTCTCATATCTTCACACCCAACTCATCACTTACATGTATTGAAGTCTCGAGCGATTAATAAAATTAGTTTTAACGACTTTGGTTCAATCCGGGTAATGAGGAATTTTATGACACTTTAAAATCCCGCGGGGGCGGAGGGGGGCGGGGGGGGGGGCTCGCATATAAAAAGAACGGAATGCCCATCGTACCTCTTAGGGGTTAAAGAAGCAGTCTTTTTGCCGAACACAGAACAATTTTAATCATCTTGTTTCAGTTACTTGTTATTCCGTAGTGCGTCGACATGACACGCACCTCAACAAAAATTTTTTTCAAGAATTTGCGTTGCAGGCAAGAGCAAAATTGAAAAAGAGAAGAAAGCTTTGTTTATGGTGAACAGTTATAATAACACTAGGTTGACACTTGTTCTGTGAGTTTTATTACAATATCAATCTTTTTAAAGATTAACATTCAAATGTATTCTGGCCCAAAAGTTATCAGAAATTATCAAAAGGTATTCAAATTGTATGACATTTTAATAGTCTTTCCACAGTTTTATCTTCCCAACCTGGTGTATATAATAGGACTACATGCTATCCAATTTGGAAACAAGTGGATAAGAAAAATCAGAGGACTACCAAAATAGTCTCTTTTGCGGTCGTTGTTGAGGGTCGTTGCATGACGCAATGCTGTTAAGGTGGCTGAACACAGTTTTTGATATCTGTGTTTCATTCACCGTTTTCTCTAAAACCCTTGATCCCTCGGTCGTCAAAAATGGCAGCAAGCAAGTTAACAACACAAAATTTGGTTTTTTTGATGGTTAAGCTGACGTATGTGCCGTTGCCATGGCAACATGAACAAATATAAATAGGCCTTCAAAATCGGTTTTGTTTATTTGTAGAAAATCTAGTCATTAGATTTTTTTTATAATTTGTATGTAACAAGCTTGTAACGATTCTTACAAGTTAACACCATTTTGCTAATAATTTAACAGAGAGATCTTTAATTATCCCATGTTGACGGTTCACTGGAATATCTAGAATTTCCTTTGTTAAAGTTCAATTATTTTCAGTGCTTCAGTTACTTGTTTCCTAAAGTATTTTCGTGCCAAGTTTCGTGAAATTCTAATGAGTGGTTCTCGAGAAATAGGCGCATTTCCGGAGTGCAATTTTTCATTCCATTGCACTCTTTTAACTTACTACGCATGCGCTGCATTTAACTGGGTTCTTTCGANTTATAGAGAAAAATAGCACAGATAGTGCGGGTGTTAAGTAAATAAAATGATCGCTCTATTGACGGCATGTTTGTTTAGCTCAAGTAATCTGCGCGCGCTCGCGCTCGAAGAAAAACGACAGTGCTTTTCGATATTTTATGACGTCAACATAAGCACAAAAAACAAAACTGACATTGAATTTTCTTGCGTTTCCTTCGGTGAAATTCCGTAAAATTTAGCAGACTGGTAGTAAATTTTTTAAGTTAGTCGGAGCTCGTTTTTCAGGGAAATCTATACAACTTATTCCAAAATGGCCGTCATTTTAGTATTCTTTTGTTTACTTGAAAATGAGCCCTTGTTGCCTCGTTTAAGGGAAAATATTCTTTTGAATTTCGAGTTTAAGAACGAGCCAACAAGGGCTAATTTGCAAGTAAACAAAAGAATACTTAAATGGCGGCCATTTTGGAATAAGGTGTGTGAGACCAGTTTTTTCACAGCGGTAAAAGACATAAATTTGCAAAAATCGAAAAAAATCTGCCGGTACAAACTCTACTTTTTTCGTGTTTAAAATTCGTATCCCACGGGT